GCGCAAAAGATGGTCTAAGAATAGGTGCCTGCTTAGGGCACGAGATGGTATCTCGTTGTGCAACGAGTGCAATCAACCAGGCAATTCAAAGTGCCAGTTGAAATATTTTGTTACATGCTAACAAGCTCACACGCTATATTTCGTTCTGCCAAGCAACTAAGGGAGGAAATCCAAACCACTCTGGAGATCAAGTTGGATATGGATAACTGGACTGATGACTATGAGTCGGTCCATTTGAGGAGGATGCAGTCACTTCCAATTGCATTGGAATTAGTATCAAGGTAACAGATTGAAGGGGATTTTCGCTTATAAGGTGGAGACATCATTGGCAAGCGAGAAGTGAATGGATTCCGCCTAACTGAAATGGACAAATCTTGAGTGATAGCAGCACCGATTTCGGTTGGATGCACAATTGCACACACTGCTAAACGGAGGTCGGTCGTTCCAAACCTGATGACCTGACATCCGCACCACAGAGACACAAATGCACACGAAAGCACCATCTCGCTTCGCCGTGGTGAATCACGCACAATTCTTCCGAGTGTGTGTGTGTGTACAGGAAAGGGCACGCAATAAAAGCGAACAGGTTCGTTTGGTGCATCAATCAATACGATGTAACGGCTTAGAGGCAGTGAGTTTCATCCCCTTCAGAGGACTACCTGATTTGTCAAATGGAGATGAGTAGTAACCATGGGCATTGAAGTAGTCTGCCATGTTCCAGCCGTGATGGCTAGTTGATGCATGCACCGAGGGAGTGGATTACAGCATGACTGTTCCCTCAGTATTCGTTTCAAAGTAGGAAATGTCGTTTCCGATGCTTGTGTGTATTTGAAGCCAATGCAAGTGTCACACTATTTAATAAGTGGTATGGAATATGTGTTTCCATGTATTGATGGATGACCTCAATGCAAGATGGCTCTCATATTCCTAAATGTGGTGCATAAATTAGACACTATTTTAGTGAGCAGTTGATTTGCAAATAGAATGCATTTCGAGTGATTAGCCTGAGTGAATTTGTAGGTTTACAATTGGCACAACCGTATTTAAGACGCAACAGTACTGAAGTAAGCAGGTAACTTCTTCGCCACCATCCTGTTTGCGAAGCAATGCGAAACATTGCTTTGAGTCCGTAAACTGTGGTTACGATGAATTAGTTGAGCAAGAAATGAGCACTACAACTGATAGTAATGGCAAACTTGTCATCGACCTAGACGAAGCTACAAGAGAATCAACTTTGGAATGGATGAAATTGACCAAGTCCAACACACACACACACACACACACACACACACGAATTTCGAAGTGGAAGGCATTCGGTCCCTTCTTCAATTTACTTAATATTTCAGAGTTGTAATAATTGATGAGTGGTGGTAATGGAAGGAATTCACCAAACCTCGGTTGGCTAGAAGGGACTCCTTGCTTTGTATGATTAGATAGGTGGTTGGAGAGGATGGGAAGAGGCTGCGTTGGGAACAGGACACCTCTGATCCACCACAGAAGTTGTTGGATGAGCAAGCCTGAAAACGCACGACTAGTGACTTTGGAATGACGGGTTGGACAGTCATATGCGGAAAGAGAGCAAGCAAAGAGAATGTTTGCGAGATGCGCCGAATCACTGCATTAAAGCTTTCGGTCTAATGTTACCGCTTCCATTATTACCTCTGAGCAGGAAATTGTAAGCATTGGTGTTTTACTTAGGAATGCGCGACCATCATGTTCATTGAAAATGACTAAGTCGGTTTGGCGGAGAAAGTGTGCATTTGTGTCCTCGCGTCAACTTGAGGGGTGCTCGTAGAAAAAGGTATGTGAGGTGTGTCCACAAATCTGGGGTTAAATGCATAGGTGAAGTCAAGCCACATGGCACAGATATGCCATGTATCAGATGTGTCAAACCACAAATCGAAAGCTTGCATCTGTATTTTGGATGACCAGACTAATCGAAATTGGACTGTGTTGCATATTTGACTTGACCAAGCTCAGGCAGTATTCACTTGTGCCCATGTCACACGTAGCGTCACAGAACGAGCGAATGTCGATGCGCGTTTGACAGTAGTTGTCGCCATCTCTTTCATTGCTCCCATCTTTGTTTAGACGTTAGAGCTTCAAGTGGTTCTCTCTAAATGCTACCGTCAAAATTCGGTTTGAGACTGAATGGCGGGTAATCAGTAGCATGGAAATTAATCAGCATGCGATTGATGTGGTGTGTGATTTTTGAAGCAGTAAGAGTCGACATGATGCAGAGTGTATCTTTCATTGTTATTCTTTGTGTTAAAGAAACAAACATTTCAAGTTGCAGGTCTTTGTCACCGAGACACCAATTTGGTGTGAAATGCGATTGCTGATTAGAGAGAAAAAAATACGTGTTTAATGCTGTGAGTACTAATAGAAGGCATTACAGCAAGTTGATGCTATGTTGTAATATTCGGTTGATTATAAGAACCACCGTTCCCGCATTTTGTGCTTCCGCTTGTCATCATGACCCTTCGAATATTTCTGGAGTCTCGTAGGCATTATTACGAGTACATTTATAGCGATCTTAACCATTTTATTTTAGTGGTTTCGGTTGAAGGGGACGATAAAATTTGTGTAGCATTGACCAAACATGTAAAACTTAACTACTTTTAGCCTGCTTGTACTAGTTATTTTCATCTACACTAATTGTGCAATTAATTTGTGCCAAATTCTAGTGGTTCTGAAGAAAATAACTACATTTTATGCTATAGAATTTATATAATAGTGCATTTATTTGTTATACTTTGATTCTTTATTATGGTTACGCGAGTGATTAGATCGCCATCACTGTACTTTTCTGGGTGACATGGCTTTCAAACCACATCGGTAGCCCTACAGCCATTTCGTGTGTCGATAATATATTCTCTGTTCTAGAACAATTACTTTATTCGTCTTCAGGAAAGACTTTCAGGGCATCACTTACTAGTATTTAATAAAACATACCTAATCACACACTATTGCAGCGGACAACATTACGTCCATTAGATCCTGTTATAGTATCTTAGTCTAAAAATAAGTTACCATTTCAAACACTCTAGCCTGCAGTATTGGGGATTGGGGGATGGTGTGCGAAAATTTACCGTTTTCACCCGGCACTTCTACATTCGATGTTTTGCCTTGCTATAAGTAACCTTTTTTACATAAGGTTGTGTATTGTTCTGACACGCACTTCGTTCCGAGTATCAAAGAGAAAAACGCAACGACTCTCCACCGCTTCGGCTGTTGGCATCGCCTAACTATCAACCGTGTGTCATTACTGAGGTGCAAGCATATGCACGCACGCACATACACACACACGGAGAGAAAACGTGTGCGTGCACGTCAAGTGTGTTATTTAACATGGCAATAAAGAGGACTCACTGCACTGATCACAAAAGAAATTCGATTAACAATGAAGGCTGTCATGTCTTAATTGAAAAACTGATTTTTTTACTGGATGTCAGGCTCATTTTATACCAGTCGGAATGGGATGATTGCTTCCATAATTCACAGCAAGAATTCTGGCAAATTTCCATTACACCATCGGCATATATGCCGACTGATGAATGCAATGGACGAATCAATGGGGTATATTTGTGCCGAATTTTTGTTTCATGAGAGGAAAAAAGCTGTCATTCACATAGGTATGAAGTACACTAGCATGCATGAAAAGACCATAACAGTGGAGGGCAAGAACATTCCAAAGGAATAGATTAACAAGGTGGATGTGTTTTAATTTTAAACGACAAAAAGCATAAATCTCACCTTTGTGATGATAAAGAATGCGTTTAAATGACACTTGTGGCGTTGATTCTCGAAACAAAAGCTCTTCTTTAAACCGGTGGAAAGCCATATAACGTCACAAATGATCATTGCATTGACATAACAATTTTATCTTTTGATTCCCAGCATTTTTTTTTACTATTTTCCACCCTGTCAAAGATCCAATTCAAGTTCTATTCTTACATGTTCTGTAAGTACAAATTGTATTCATGTACACTCGGAGTTCCCTACCTACTTCCTAGAGGATTGAGAAGAGAAACAAGGCATTCATTGCAGCTTTCTCTTGGTTCAATTACTTCGTCATGAAGAGATCAGCATATTCACCTACTGAAAAAGCAATTATATATCAGGAGTTAAAGTACTAAAGATCCGATTTAAAGACCGGTATTACCGAGGTTCCTCTCTGACAATTCTTGTGAGCGTGCATCATTTTAAATCATTCAAATTCAAGCGCCAGCAGTTGAATATTTGCACGAGTAGCAGCTATGAATCGGTTTTTGGGTAACAATGAATGAATTGGAACGAATTTGAGAGTATTGTGAATGAATGAAAAAAAGAATATGCATATAAAAGTGTACATCCTAAATAAGAGAAAAAGCAGGTTAACGAAACCGTATCCCATTCAAATTGTTTTAATTACACTCTGCTGAAACTGACTACCAAGGGCCATGGACTGAAATTAATCACCGATGCCAGACAGCAACGTACAATGCAGGATAAAGCTAGCCGAGATTTCACCGGTGGCTGCCTAAACAGTACATTGGTGTCAAGGTGTCAACTCTATATTGTCTTTGGTTCAAACTGACAATGAAAATTCGTTTAGATCGAAAGGGAGCACCTTCGTTGTTATTATAAAAATTTCAAACCATTTTTGGCCAGACTATCAGCTTTTAAGGTGTCAAGCAACTGCTAGAAACTATCATTTTTTTTCGCCACAGGGAATTAAAGTGTCATTCTGATGTGACTTTGACTGGCCTCCAGCCCATTCCACTTTCATTGTTTATTGTTAAGCCTATTGTGGAGCTAAAAATCTTGAAACAAGGTGGTTATTAGAACATAAAATCCTACATATGTTCTACTGATTTTAAATTAATACAATATAATACAGGACTATGAAAGACTGAATTAAGAGTGAAAAATACGTGATTCATTAAAAAGAGCGAAGACCTAATACAGACATCCAAATATAAGGGTTTGTTTTTCAACAATTTGCTTGCTCCAAGGTTTGATGGAGGTCGAAAACACTGATGGGAGCAGTCATTTACCTACGGACTGAGAACAACTTCTTTGACGATGAGCAGTAATTTAAACATTGCCTTCTTTCCTTAACCCACAAACATATGAGTTGAAAATTTGAATAATTGTACCGGGAAGGAATCAGCTAAAAAGGTGAGAGTTTTTTACTACTGATACAAGTTGTCAATTCATTGTTTAAAGTGTGGCATAACTAGGCCGTTTTTGGTAAAAAAGTGAGATACGTTGCCTGTTTTTTAACCCCCAGTTCTGGTGGGAGCTACAAAGTTGGTCATCGTGGTGCCTTCGTCAGGCGAGCTGGCCTCCTGGCCATGCCAGTGGCATCAATCCATTCTGTATGCCAAATTAAAATATTCTGCTCAAGTATTATGTCTTCTTCCATCTTCAGGGAAGCCTCGGGGACCTACCTTGGTGGCAGCGAAAATCGAAGCCAATCGTAAAGGACAACTGTCCCCATTTCTACCGCATGCCTGACACAGCTTATCTCAACGGAAGAAGTGCATATGCCGCGGATGGGAGGATCGGTAAACACCCCTAATAGAAGGGCTGAAATTGAAGTCTGCCTTTGGCAACTATCCCAGTCCCCTATTCTGCGGGAAAGCTAGCAACAAATGAAGCGACACTGGCCATGAACCATCTGAAAAAGCTTGTCGCGGAGCTGCTTACCGTACTCGTACGTGGACATTAAATATGCAAAAACGCGATACCTCCTCCACTTCTCTACTAGCTGGATAGAACACAGATAGGTGTGGATACGTAGCAACGAAGTGAGAACAGAGTAGCAGGGAGGAATGAAAGCGAAACCCTACCCGCATGGTACTACAATGATTCCCGTCCTTTTTTATGACACTGGTTTTGAGCCAGTTTTCCTACGACTAGCTATGGACACGCGTGATGGCTACCGCATTCTTCCGTCCCCAATACAATTTCCAGATACCCAAGAGAGATTCATGACATTGCCCTCAGGTATCTTCTCAGTTTCATGAAAAATCGATATGTGGTATGGTTCACTCGTGTTTTTTTCTTACAGCACCGACTACGTTGCGATGGATGACACGGGAGGTTGTTTGCTTATTCCTGGGTTTGGTAAAGGGCCACCTTGGCTATTTCTGCAATGCTTGGTCAGCTTCATGAGACATATGATCTCTTCACACGGGAAGGCAGTTATCAGTGACAGTACAAGGTAAGCGAAAACCTGGACAACACCAGCCAATCAGAGAAAACGTCGTAGTTTACCTGGCTCAGCAGGTTACACAGGCGTCTTGGTAAAAGTTTTCGCGACGATTGCAAGTCTGCTGCACAAACTGACAGAAAAGCAGGTTACGAAGAATTTCAAATTGGGGAAAATATGCGAGACGTTCAAAGTGATAGCTCTGCACCATACCGATTCTAGCATTACTTAAGTTCGAATTGAGCAAAGCTAGCGAGGTAGTTGTGGGCGGCGTATTCTAACAAAATGATAAAAAAAAGGGGAACAAATCCAACAAAAAATGAGAAAAAAATGCACCAGTACAATTCCCCAGTGAAGTACAGAAAGGTAAATCCACACAATAATACAGACGCTCTGTCCCGCAGGTCAGTCCCGACAAAAACAGGTAATGGAGTGAATACCACTATGTATCCTGGAAAAAATTCCCATTATACCAATCCTGACACGGCTCTAGTATAGGAACTGGTCCTTGCGTCCTCCTACAAACCCACAGCCAGAGTTGGCGTCGTCGACCATGACGGCTTGACGAATATGGCAGGTATGATCAAATCTATCTCCAGAGGATGAAGTTCTACTGTAACAAGGTGTTGGGTCTAGCGAGCATCAAGTGGTCCCAGGCTTGTTGGCACAAGCGGTTCTCCAAGTTACATGAGCAAGTGGGCCATGGGGAGTGCAAATATGATTTGAGATGCCTCAAGCAAACGGCACTGGTGACCTATGCCCACCAAGGAGTTTCAAAACGCCTCACTACACAATGATCGCACCACTCCTATCCAAACCCACAGGCTTCCCAGAAGAAAGAGCAGATAGTGACATGATGGGTTCTCTACCACCCGCCGAGAGAGGAAGTCAATATATTCTGGTTATAGTAGACTGCTACAGGAAAGTAGCCGAGACAGAACCCAATAAAACAAGACGTTGAAACAGTTGCTTCTGCTTTCTTCAATCTTCAGTCAAGTGCACTGCCGATTCCGTCATCCGTGAAGCAAAGATGCATTCCAAGTGTTGAGTCCTCTCACCTACAAACTACTTCATCTGCAATATACGACCAATCATCGTTCATCATAACAAAATGCGCCCGTGCAGGAGCACACATCTAGTAGGGTACGAAGAAGTCTACGTGTCAACAGAAGAAAGAAACCCACCACAAATAATATGAGGATACCATACGGTATGGGGAGCATCGGGTACGGTGCCCAAAAAGATGAGGAGGCTATATAGTACAGATTTTGGGCAAAAGGCGGTCAGTGAACACAAACCTCATTACTCAATGGCCGCAATCTGCTCCCAAGGAGGAAGAGTACCTTGAATAAGCGTAACCCTGATCAATGCATTGTTTATAATGTTACCATTAAGAAATGCCATCATCAAATCAGCCTGCTCATTTCAAGATAGAAAAGGCAGAGGGTGAAGAAATAAACCCCGAATCTAGCAAAGTTAATCACAAGATATTGCACACTCTAACTGCGGATACATCTCTCGTTAAATTTGAAGTAGTATGAAGTTATTGATCTGTTATCATAAAAAGCGCAAACATTTAGTCACCTTGTTTTGAAAAACATTTTTTATCGTAAACAAATCGGCGTAATTTATCGAGGCCCTAAAGCATCTCAAAATCCGAAAAACAAGTGCTTCTTTGGTGATCCGGCTTCATACAGAAGTTGCCCACGTGAAGAATCCAGCCCACAAACTACTATATTAGGCTGGAGGTAGGGATGGTTATACCTTTTGGATTCCAAATTTAGAGGAGAAACTAATTATGAAAATGCTTAATGAAACTTTACACAAAGCCTGCTACTCAAATTAAGTGGATACAAAATTCTGCCCTTTACTCATCCAAATTCTTGTGAGGCGCTAAACACACTTAATTTGACTCGACGACATTTGCGACCACACACGGCTGCACTCAGTAGCACGGTTCTCATCGCGTAGGACAAAATTGAAGTTGGCTGCGTATCCCAATTGCCATACTCATACGCATATAGTAGCAGCATCGAAATGAAGCATTGACACGCATTCAGAAAAGCAAAAACTAAAGAACTGTTCGCAATGCTTCAGCTTGCAGAAAAAAATATCCACAAGAAAGCAGATCGCATAACTTTCACGGATGTTAACTATGGGAAGTAAAATGTAAGAACATAAACGAAAGGCAAAACACCTAAGGACGAACCAATACAACAATACCCATCAACTTCATCACATTTTAGTTTCTACAGAGTAATCAAACGTAGACCAGTGAGTAAACTGTGGCTTTGATAATAGTGCAGATGCACAAAATCGAGGCAGTAGGTCTTTCATCTAATATTTGAGATGATACAGAACAAAAGTACAATCTGAAGTCAAAATTGAGCCATTTAATAAACCACTTGCCAAGCACCCTTTTCAAAACCAAAAAAAAAACGAAAAACCATACTAAGCCGATAGGACTCATACAACAATTCAAAAGGGACGAAGATATTAAGGTTAATGGAGATAGTAGAAATAGACACAGACAGTATCAATACCATAAAACGGTAGTCATAAACTTTAATGGGCTGAGTGGGCAGAACAAATCCATCTATAAATGAACAAAGGGACGTTCATCTCGAAAATTTCTGGTGCAAATGAAAACCACTGTAAGTACATGAAAGGAAAAAGAGGGATGATGAAAGCCCATTAATAGTAGAGTAACAGTGATCACCAACGTTAACGATGACAACTTTATCGCAGTTTGGAGTAGATCGGTGGTCGCAGCTTCATTCGGATGCACTTGAGAATTACCAGGGGGATACAGCTTACTGCCGTGATGGCAAATACCTTCCATGCGAAGTTCCACGTAAGCAGAAAGGCTTGATCTATTAAAAATAGACAAAATTATGATTTCCAATGATCGATGCGGACAGGAGAGAGTAAGCAAGTGACCTACCGAAGTAAGACTTGAAAACAACCAGCGCGACCACATAGATTGCGAGGCTGGCGAGTTCGGCGAGGATCATGATGAAGTGCCAGGTATGGATAGTCAGCGCCACCATGAGGAGTTCGGTAAGGAGGACCGAGGTGAAGGTGATGGAGACCACGTGGATGAAGTCCGAGTCGAAGAGCAGGAGCGCGCCGTACATTATTACTCCACCTACAGAGATGTACTCAAATACCTAAAACCGCCCATTTATAAGGAACCGACAGTCAATGAAAAGGTACTGATTTTCATGCGTTTTTCATTTCAACTTCGAATTTCACGATTTAATGAAAGTGGTAGATGAAAGAACTTAATGATTGACTCAGGTAAGAGATATCATGAAAATCTAAAACGACTCAGCTATTTTGAAAGAAATGAATGAAAATTAGTAAGATTTCGTCACATAGATTCGATATTTACCAGAAAAGTGCCACCTTTTAAAAAAAATATGAACAAGGGTCACACTGAATATTCATCCAACGGCAGTTAAAGTTAGGTGGAAACCAAGAAATTTCCTGTTCAAAGGGGAATCTCGAACTCAAAAGGGAAGAAAATTCATGAAAATGTTGGAAGGAGTAGAATGACACCAATTTATAAATCAGCCACTTAGCAAGGTATTATGATAAAGCAAATCAACCATTGACTGGGGGCTACAGATGGATAGTGGGTCAATCTCTCCAATCAAAGTAGACGACAGGCAGATAAATTCCAGCCATTAGAAGCACACAACTACTAAGCTTCAGAATCTCTCACGCAGCCCCGTGCATTTGCCCCTCCCTTCAGCTTAAAAATAAACGTAATGAGATTCGATCCTACACTGGTGAAGAAAATGACTTACTCAAATCCACTCAAAAATACCCCAAAGTGCTTCTTGAAATTTAGTGAAGCATGCCCAATTGAAAGCGTAGTACTGATGTATTCTAACATTGGGAATGGTAATAAAAAGTCATCGTACGTTTGTTATGGGACTAGAATCGTTGCGAATAAGTCAGTTTTAATCAAATCAAAGGCAGTAAATCAGCCAAATGAAAGAGAGAACACTGAGTAACAGGCGATAACTTAATGAATCTAACACTAGGAACGGTGGTGATAGTTGAGAAAATTAAATCAGGCATATAATCACATTGCCGTCACGGTTTGAGAGCGTAGGACAAAAAAAGATGAATATGGATCCTAACATACCAAAAATAAGCATACCTTAGTATCTACCTTACAGTAGAGGACTCGGAATCAAATCATGGAAACAAAATCGTCGGATTAAAAAAGGGCATTCAGTACGGAGCTGGTGAATGAGTCAATCGAATTGGAGGGAGACAGACCCTGGTATATGCTGATAACGAGCCAGACAAAGAAAGTCTTGACAGTGAGTTCACGACCCTTGGCGAGGTCCTTGTAAAGCTCAGGATAGGTCATGGCCACCGAATCAAGCACATCCTTGTCCAACACCAGCGAGAAGACTGGGAACATGGTGAAAATAGTCGCGTAGCCCACCATCAAAAAGCCCGGGAAGAGAGCCACCGAGATGATGTAGAAGATTGCCGAAAAAATTATCTGCATCACTGTGATTATGCAGCCTGTAAGTAGAAAATGCACAAGGTCAGTGAATCAGTGTGTTAAAAGTCAAACGCTCATGACTAACAGGCAAAAACCACAAGTGAGAGGTTGATCACACAATCAGATGTAAATTGTCTTGAGAAATAAAAACACAATGCTATTCTTTTCCTTACTATAGTGGTTTACATGATTTCTTCTGCGATAAAACATGAATGCTGCTTGTTATATTCACAAATGGTTATTTTGATTGGCATACATGTTTGTTGCCATGAAGAAGGGAAGGTTCCTAAATTATTACACCATAAAATGTTGAAGAAATCTTCCGAAAGTCCACACTTAACACGAATCGAAATACCAGGAATATCACCTTCCAGACGGAGAAGCTAACTCGTCAGCATCATGGCGGAGCGAGATGTCAAGTGGGCAACATCGGGCAGGTAGCAAAAAAAATAACGTTACAGAGCTGACAACTTCCACGGTTTTGTTTAACAAAACCTTGTAAAAGGTTAACAAGAACATTCCTTTACTTGAGGGCCGAGAGCACGCATCACTCATAGTGGGAAACCTTCACACTGCACAATCCATCAACTCAAACTTACCACTCGATTGAATGTCTTACCTTTTATAAGTTCAAATAGCCAATTCGCTTTAAACACATCCCAACACAGCCACAGAACCAATTAAGTAAAAAACGAACTCGCTGAAAAATCGCGCGCTAAGGTTGTCCTTACTTGTTGAAGATTGAATGAGCAATGAGTAACACTCTGAGGCAAAACCTGTTGGTGTGCAAAGGAGGTGCCGCCAGGTTGAGCAATGCACATGCTTAAAAAGATACGGGTACTAAACCACATCACCCCACGTGCTTTCGATGCATCAAAGACGATTGGATGGTGCTTGCACTGGGAAAGTAGCAACAAAAGGCTAAAAAGAGAATCCAGTACCAAGGTGAGTCGCATCTTTAAGTCGACTTATAGAGTGAAGAAAGCGGAACCCACAGGTACAATTAATAAACCAGATGATAGAGAGAGGTAACATCTTGGTTATTATGGCAATATTAAGCTAATTTGCAACGATCTTAAAATGTTGAGCGTCAACATGAGACGTTGTGACCGGTTAAATCACTGGTAATCCATGTGTAGATTATGGCTTTACGCCTCCAGAATTGAATATTGGTAGTAAAAAGAAAAGGCCTGACATTGTCCAATTTAACTACAACTGATTACAATTTTAAAAGGTAATTATTCTACAGAATCAAAGCCACAGCATTACAGATCACGCACAAAGTGCTTAAATGACAGTGACATAATGAGAATCTCACATTACGCAGGCGCTTTAAACTGCAGTCAGCCACTGATTTCGCGTGAATAGACAATAAACTCACATAAAATCGCCATTTGCCCATAAAGCGACGTAGTGTCAAAATTTCCTGCTGATTCGAAGTAGAATGCAGCAAAGATAACGTATAACACCGGCAAAAATAATACTCTTTGAGAACTAGGATTACAAAAAACAGTTAAACCTCGTTCCAATGAAAAGTGATTGGTTCGCAAGACTAATGACCTCCAGAGCTAACTGTAGACATTGTCTAAGCTCATACTCTTTTAGTTACATTGATTAAAAAGGCAAAGCTAGCAATGATTAAAAACGCACTCAAAAGTGGGTGAGTTACACACCAAAACCCTATAAAAAATTGAAATAGTGAAAACTACAGTTTTCAAAGCTTTGATGACTCGAATTGCCAAGCCACAAATGAAGTAGAACCTGCCACTCTGCCCCCTTTGCACCCCCCTAAAAATGAGTCAAAAGTTGAGCACAAGGTGTGAAGAGGATCGAGGACTCCTAATCAATGGGGGCTAAAATTCTCAAAATTCACAGGATCGTGACACTTTAAGAACAAGAAAACCATTGGAAGGATCAATCCAGGACCAGGTCTTGGCTTCGAAAGAGTGGAGAGGTTTAAATACGAATCGATCTAGAGCAGGCAAGTCACGAATCAAAACTAACTCGTTTTTCTGGATTTTGAACATCTAAAAAAGTCAAGTTCATTTTAGGATCCATTGGAAAGTTTAGCTACCCCTTCTCAAAGCGTTTAGAAATCTGCAGAAGACAACCTACAGAACAAAAGAAAAATGACCTAATCTTTAACCCTAATCACCCTTTCACTTACGTACTGGATATTTCCATTAAAAAATTAGTATCACCGGCGCAACCAGAAAAAAATAGGTGCAGAAAAGCACCATACCTCTGTGTATGATAAATTGTGAAAGTGACGCCGTATTCTTGTAGGTGTTGCGCCCGTGAACCAGAAAAAGACGAGCAACATGTGAGAACTGAGTGACGCTGAAGTCAGAGGCAAGGCTAGCTTGTCGGCCTTCTTTACCCACAATACCGATGCCGACATGAGCGGCCTGGATCATGGAGACGTCGTTACCACCGTCGCCGATTGCTGCCACCACAGCATTAGTGTGTGCTTTCAGCAACTTCGCGATGCCGGCCTTCTGAGTGGGCGAGGTGCGGCACACCACCACTGCAGGGCACTGACGAATGAGATCGAGGAACTCGTACTCGTAGTAGCGCAAGCACACCTACCACGCAGAATGGAAGTAGAGGTAAAAGTGAGCCAAGTAGATAAATCTCCAAGACTGCGCTATACGCAAGAGGTATACGCAAACATAATGCCGTAGGGGTGAACATGAAAAGCCAAAAAACCCAAAGATCAGAATTAGATGGGTAATTTCAAGGATTTGAAAAATAGTTATAGAATTGTGTAACACTGAAAAGACTCATTTTAAAAGAAGTCAAGTGAACATCAAAAAGTAAGTGGCAAATCCCGCCAGTGGGCAGCAGACAGGGCACAAGAAAAGGATCTACCTCTAGCGAAGAGCCCGTGATCACCAAAGGCATGTCACAGCGTCGACGGAAGGCATTCAACTCCAGATGGGCCTCGGAGCGGCCGGTGACAGGTTGGAAGATGTGTAGTGCCTGACCGTGGGGCACGAGACGTGAGGACTTGGCGATACATTCTGCAGTCTCCAACTTGTCACCTGTCAGCATCCACACTTTGATGCCGGCGTTTCGAAGCGTCTCTAGCGTTGGACGTACCTGGAAGAGAATAAGTGAGGTGCAGTTGCCTTGCTTTTGTCACAAAACTATTACATGCTCTTTCAGTGGTCCACAGGTGTACACCTAAATGAAACGTTATTCAAGGCGCTACCTTATTAAACAGTGAATCAACATTGCTTTAGTGACAGCTGCACAAAAAAAGCCTTACTAAGCCAAAAAATTCAAAATTTCAAATAAGTGCTGTTCAAATAATTAGCGCGCAGTTTTGAATGGATGTATCCAACTCTAGCACTACAGAAACTCTCGGTTCAGCTCATTATTGTTACTGTTGCCGAACACTTCGATGGGCGACCTGTCGAGGTGATTAAACTGAATCACTGGTATCATAATAAAACCGAAATCCCTACCTAAATGTAACAATCCCTTGCAAGCCCCATAGATATGCAAAAAGATGGATTGTTAGATATCATTAGAAAGGGCATTACATTCAAAAACAGAGGTTTTTAGACGATGGCAGTACACCCAAAAATGTGAAAGAACTCCAGAAATAAAGTTAAGTGGCAGACGCAGTATAAGAAAGCCTGACACATATTTGCAAATATATTTCAGCGAAATAAGTAGATGGATAAGCACTAACGAATGCAATAAGACCATGTCAGATGTGAAAATAAGGCCATTAAGTGGTACGAAAGTGCACGTAAATGAGCCGAATTCAGATGTCATCTACAGTAAAAAATCTACCATAAAGACTAAATTAACCGCTTAATCCAGGATAACAAAAAACGCCTTAGACAATTAGCGCCGCAGTGGAGTGCTGATAAAAAATGCGAAGCTAATATGTATTCACGCTCTCACAATCTGGTTGATTTTAAGAGGTGGATGAAAACATGCAGTGACTGACGCAATAAACCCTTAAAAGAAGAAGCTAGTGTGGAAAAAAGCACTACAAGTAGAACATGTTAAGTAGCCAATTCGGATGTATGTTTGCGATAATTGTTTGGACGAGTTATACGAGGGCACAGTCAACGCAAAAGCCAACTAATAAACATCGAAGCTAGTGGTAAAATGAAAACCCTTTCTGCCGTGGCAATTCAAGGCGTAGATTGAGCACTTTGCTATGAAGTAGAACCATAAGATAGAAAGGGCAAAGGACCGCATAAGATGGGCTACAACCACCCTAAGCAGGTGATTGCACACTCAGTGCTCCGAAATTTCCATCAGCATAGATAGAATATACACTATTACTTCTTGCAACTGTGGTGAGAGTATTAGAGACTGATATTTACAACAAATGAGAAATGAGGTTGGGGACTTACGCCCTCCTGTAGTTTGTCCTCTACACCAGTAAGACAGAGGAGCTGCAGATCGCACTCCAAGGTTGCCACGGCCGCCTGAACCTTTCCCGTGCGATCACTCACACTCATTGTGGCCTGGTGATACCTGAAAACAGGCAAGATAATCAGTTCTAATGATGCAGAGTATATATACTACTTTGTAGAGGCAAATCATAGAAGCGCTAGCAGCCTTTTCGATACAGTCATCTTTTTATCATTGGAATACAAACAAAACAGTCAAATCATCGGATAAATGCTACACCACTAATGATGTTTCTGCACACGTCTATTGGGCCCATTCTAATCAACGGTGAAATGAAAAATCCAACCCTACCAGTACCACTTTAACCGACGAAAACGCATAAAGACAACTCGTTCCTTATTTCTGTTTAAATGAAATAGCAAAAATGAAGTTTGTACATAAACAAAATTCGTTGTTCATATTAGACGACGAAATCCTCAATTCTAGTGGCCAAACGAAGCCTAGAAAAGGGAGCCGTTTCGTTTACATTTGGTGATGCTGGGTTTACTGGTCCTCAATTTCAGGGGGATAAAATAATCTAAGCTACTTAAATGGTGTACAAATATGGTTTACATTAACCTATCGAGAAGCTTTAGCTCAGTTATTAGAGAAAGTGAACATTTTACCGGCAAAGTGGCAACACAAAAACAGTGTCATCTTCTTTGCAACTGAAAGGCCTACACGTCGCAAAACTAATCCAAAGGGCATAGTGGTTTCATTAGATCACTACCGATTTTGGCGCTTATTCCAAAAGTTAGCAGAGAATAGGATATTTTTCAAGTTGCAATTTCAAAGCCAACTCCAAGTGATGTTAGTACGAGAAATCTGGACTTTCAATCTCAGAATAACAGCCTCGTTAGGTGCCAAAGCAGTTAAATATCCTTAGCTTTACACAAAATATGGAAAGCACTGCTTCTGCTAAGTAGGAATCAAAAATGGGATATCATTTCGATCGCACTTCAGTAGTTCAAGTTAACCAAAACTGATACAAAGATCTAGACTCCAAGAAGTAAAACTAGAGATTAAATTTTGCCGTTTAAAAAAAGCCCGAAATGAAGTATCGTTTTATTTATCCCTGAGGCAGAAAATGCCCCTTCAGTCTTTGACGAGAAGTTAATTGAAACATCCCTAGTAATTGGTGCAGGTGATACACACATCCTTGAGTTTGTTCTAGCCCATAAACAGTAACAAAAAACGAGTTCATAATACTTTAACGGCTTTCATAGAAATTTTCTAAGGAGCGAAACGATCGAGTAGCCACCAAAATATATAGTTCAGCGTTAACTCACCCAACAGCACCTTTTAATATTTGAAAGTTATGTGTAAACGTCAATGTATGATCTTTTCACAACATCAATCAACACATTGGATTCAGAAGCGAAGAAAGTGTTTGTCAAACTTTTGGTCATATTAGCAAAGAACGACGTAGCCATGAGCAGATCCATTAGAACTGGAAATAAGTTCACGACTCATGATACTCTTTAATTTGCTTCGCTTCTTCGACTCCATACAAGGTGCTCAACTAAACTAAGTATTAGAAAATATGATGGAGCAGCAAAAAGCCGTATGCAAAATAATTCAAAAGGACCAATTCAGGCTTCTAAAGTAGCTGATTCATCATGAAGTAATACAATGCAACAATAATATTACACACTGCAGTAGAAAGACATTTGTGAAGTACTTCATAATAATGTTAATTTCAAATAAATGTCCCTACAAAAAGGAATCGGCATAGGAAATGTACTCCCTGTCAAACATCGTAAATTTCTAAAAATGTTTTCCACATGAGTCCTCCCGTGATGCACTGTAACGAAGGGAGGGCGTAGTTTTGAAATCCCATCTAAATCCACGAAACGCACCACCACCAATGAAATACGAGACCAGCTCATTCGATAAATTATGAGATCTTCCCTTCTATTTTATAGTTGATTCCAGTTCATATTAACACTTCGATAGACGCCATAAACAGAATCAACATGAAATACAACAAATATTGTACATCAACAAGACTCTTCGATTAGAGCGAATCTCGGGCATTTCAATGGCATAAGATTTTGCACTAGAAAAGTAGACATAACCAATCTCATTCAGTGAAATTATAGAAATCCCGCCAATAGTCTTCACAGAACATAGGTGCCTTTTGTGAGGAATTTTACAACCATGTGATAGGTACAGCCAAGCACCATATGAGAATGATGCAAACATAGAAAGGGGACCGAAGTAGAAATGACAGAAATAGAAAAGTGTACGCACCGCAAAGCGAAGTCGGCATACTGGTCCTCGGTAAGCTGACGATGAGCCACAACGAGGGTGCGAAGGCCTTCACGTGCTAAGTTGCCCGCCTCGTCCTCCATCCAGGGTGTGTACTGAACCAGACCCGCCATTATGGTGTCAGCACCCTTCAAGTAGAAGTGGATGGATCGGCTGACACGCTCGCGTACTACTATGCCCATGCGCTTCGCTTCGGAGGTGAAGGGGAAGATTTGAAGGATATCGTAGGCAACTGTCGCACCTGAATAAGTCAAAAAAAAAAAACAAAATGAAACAATTCGTGTTTTAATGAAATGAAGCACGCACCGTCGATTTCCGCTGTTTGTCTGTAGCAAATGCAGAACTACGGTACAGCTATTAGCTCGTCACCTCAGAAGCTGCTGAACAAGCCCCTTTCCCCACGGTATACTGCAACCACCAAATATTCAGTTAATCTTTGCCTACATGCTTCTAACAAATGATTAAAAGACGGTGAATGTATGCATGTCTGTCTACCTACTCACAATTTGCAGCAAAACGCACCCCAAATTTAATGTAACCACAGCTGTAGGACTTTAAGCTAGCAAATCACAATCAGGAAGAAATGAACGTTCCATTCTAGCATTGGCTGACCTAAAACCCAAATCGGAAGAGGAAAAGTGCTTACAGAGTTGTATGAAGAATTAAGCAGGGGCATCTCTCAGATAACCAACGATGGCATAAGCAAGCTTTTACCATATAACTTTAAATATGTTTAAACGTAGATTTTGAACAACCTAAATGATGAAGGAAATCTAAGAAAAAATATGAAACTACAACTACACTCTCGCTTTGGAAAGTCTACCAGCTACAACAACTTAAACAGAAGGGTACAGGCCATACATTTTCCAGACGGAGAAACTACAATGATACCGCGAAGCCGAAAAAAAAACAGTTAATCAGTCCTGCGTGCTCAATAGCTGAACACTATTAAAGAGCAGATGCCATTAGGCATTTAAACTGATACCACTATTCAGATATCATAACAAGTGTATCTATTTTAGCCTGAACCGAAAAAAATGTCGACCTCCATCAAGTGTTCAAACTGCAGACTATCAGTAACATTTCAGCTGATTCTACCTCGAAAATCATCATAACGATGTGCAGCAATAGCAACAATGCCACGTAGGACCGAAACCTAAATCTCGATTTAGAAATGCATATGATGATGTATGACTACCAATTCCCGATTTTACTTCTTTGCATATTAATACATTGGGTAAGTGTAAAGATAAAAACGAAGGAAACGGTAGTATGAGAGTAAAAAAACGTGTCGAAGTAGGTTAAAATATGCAGTATAACTGAATGTTAGACCTATTGCAAGGTCCAGGAATATTTCGTTTTAACTCAGACTACAAAACCTGATAGAAATTGACAAGGCTGAGGAACACCCTTAAAGAAGCCCAATGTGGATAACTAAACTACAACAAAGACGGGATAAAGAGCTTATTTTTCAACACACACAGTGATAGGGTAAGACGTTACGGTGTGAAGACCTAACCTAACGTGGATGCACTTTAAACCGAAAAGAGAAACAACCCTGCCAACAATAACAGGCGACATCCCAAACGAAAGATAGCCGCGTTTTAGAATAACGCAGAACCCACCGTTGGGCAAACGCAAAGCCATCATCTGCTGATCCCGATGAATCAGCGTAATTCCTACCGAAGCCGTCCACGTCACCAAAGCCACCTCATCCGGCGAACTGGCTTGATATCCCACCGGTTGCACAAAGGCGTTGTAATCCAAGCCTTCCGCAGCCCCAGCAGAGGTTGTCTCCAATCCACTATCATCATTCATGGGGGTCACGTTGTGGCATATCGCGATAGCCAACACCGCCTCCACCAGCCTCTGATCACCGGTCTTGCGCAGCTGTTTCGCGTCGGTTGCATCGCCCTCCTTTGCCACGGTGTCGTAGTAGCGTCGCAAAGTCTCCGTCAAATCATCCATGGAGTCGGGTGCAAAGGCCACGCTGCCCAAGTGGAGCTTCTTGAAAACCATCTCGTTCTGCGTCAGTGTGCCTGTCTTATCCGATAGAAGGTAGGTGATACGGCCGAGCTCTTCGGGGATGGTTGTACTGCGAACAACACAGCCAGGTAGATCCTTGTCTCGTGTGATCATAAAGGAGTAGACTATCTTCGCCATGTCCATGTTCACCCGTAGACTGAAAAAGACGACAAGATAAACACCGCTTGGTGCTTTCAAAGAAACACAGGGGTGGGTGAGTGACTCACGCTAGGGGGATGATGTAGGAGAATAGAAGGAAGAAACGCCAGTAGTAGATGTACCAGGCTCCTTTAAAGCCCTTTAAAGCCACCATCACGAAAGCGAGGATGACCACAAAGACGAAGAGAAGTTTGGTGATGTTGTTGATCTCCCTATCAATGTGACCCATCTTGGTGTGAGCCTTGCTGGAATTCATGACTGCACGAGTCTCCGAGCCGCAGTAGATGACAATGCCAGCGGCGGTACCGGTGGCAACCACGGTATTAGACCAAAGAGTTTGATCTACACTCAGTGAGGCCTCATTCCTCGCGTTGTCCATGCCGTCGTCAGTATCCACGACACCAATGCGAGCGAAGGTTCCTTCAAAGCTGTGGATGCGTTGGTTCGGCGCCTCGGCGTAGATTTGAGCCTAAAGGATGAAAAACGTGGTAAGATTAGAAGCATATCAAGGAGTGACCAAACCGTGAGGAGCGTACACACTGCCACTAACCTGAATGTCGAAGAGGGCCTCAGGTCTACCAGCCTCATGAACGATGTTTTGAGTAACCGGAATGGCAGTGCGCAGCTTCCAATCTGTCTCTCCGTCCAACTGATCGGTTCGAATAAAACACGAACCGTTGGGTTCGGAGGTCCAGAGTAGCACCATATCTGCAGGCACTCGTTGGTTCTTATGCAATAGGATAATATCACCAACCTGGGTTAAAAAAAGAGGAGTAACGATAAGTCTACATTTGCGGAAGGAGACGTTTTCACAGAATCCAGAAAGTGGTATATAATCTCATAAGCACACCGTTGAAGTAAAAAACTAAAAATGTAAGCTTAAACATTGAAAAATTCACGGATAGGTCCTTTAACAAGGATGGCACTCAAAAATCCACAATCAATACTAATCTAGCTGACTATTACTTTATGTGCTTCAAAAGCACATATGCACGCGAACACAAAAGCACACAAAGCCGCCACAGATTACATCCTTATAGTTCACAAGAGATAAAACACCTTGGTTCCATCAAGCGAGCGTAAGAAATACTGGAACGTTAACAGTGGATCAGAGGGTGAAAAATAAGCTAGGACGATTTTTCTGAACAATTTAATTAAATAAAGTAATGAACGAGTAAACCTACCTGTATCTTAGCGCTGGGGAGAGTTACTTGACCTTTACGGATGACCTTTGTGTAAAGGGCGTTGTTAACTTCTCGATCACGCAGCCATCGCCGTATATCGTCAACAGCTTCACGAATCATCGTCACGGCAACAACAAAGCCCAGAGGTGCCCAGTAGGTGTAAAGATAACCAACACGCAACGGTTCAATAAATTGGGAGCAAGCCATAATTAGGAAAATGAGATTTAAAAAGACGCTGAATTGTTCGAAAAGGACCTAGAGGAAAAGTAATGGCAGTAAAACAGGACATTAGAATTATGAACGACTGATGTACAAGAAGGGGAGTTGCTAAACTTACGAGAGGAATAAACGTAAAAATATTGTACTTTTGATTTTTAATGACGTTGGGAGGAAATTTGCGGACGCGGTTCGGAAGCCCGGTACAAACCATTCGGGAGTGATATTCCTTCCTGCGCCGACATTTCGAGAAAAGCGACTTAAAAGAACTACAAATTAAGAATAATCAAAGCCAAGGACTAAAATCCCACTTGAAATCATATTAAATTATGCCGTAAAAGGGGCGAACACCCTGGCAAAGCCAAAACTTAGATAGCCGAAAATCTAGGTTACTAAAGACGGGAGCTGGATTTAACTTCATAGTAAAACAAAAGTAGAATCTCCATGTACATTCATTCTATTTTTCAAGTTTGCTATAAAGAATCTATAATAATACAAACCCGAAAACCCCTATTGATAACTACGTGTTTGAGTTATAATCGGAATCAAGGACACAACTCTAGTGCACTGGAAAAATAAACCACGAATTAAAAACCTTACTGTTTAAGCATAAAAAGCAAGCATACTTTCTTATAGATCCACAACATGGACTAGAACTACCACACTCTCCTCGCCGATTGCTATTCGCAAGTAGAGAATCCCTTGAGGTTGCAGGCTTCATTTTGCCACACAGGCCCGCGAGTTAAAATAAGCGCGCACAACAGAGGCGTATTGGTTACTTTAAACACACAGTAAACCAAGTAATTAAACTAAAACGCCCACCTACAGATATGAACTAGGAAGAGAAATCTAAACTACAAAATAACGGAATATTTAGCTCCAGTTCCTCTGTTACCAACCGGCATCATATGTCAAAGGTACCAAAACTACACCAACACTGCGGATTCAAACGAACCATGACAGAGGCACCAAAGAGGACTCAATAAGCGATGAAAAACAGCGAATGATTCCTCCACAAATGTATTGTGTACCATTGAGGAAGACATCCAAACTTGGCTACGGCTAATGCGCTGGAGTGAAGCCACCCAAAATAAGCGTTATCAAATGGTTGCTTCAAATAATACAAATTATTTCCTTTATTTTTCTGACCTATTTCAGCAAAATAAAGACAGGTGCAAAAGAGTTAGGACTGCATTCAAGAAAAGGATGCCTTCCTACCCAAATACCAGTGAAAAGCCTTTGTGCTTGGATTGACGAATATAGTTATTGTCAAAAGTAGTGAATGGAATGGAACAAATTCATTCGACGTTTACTAAACAAGATATACATATTCATAAAGCTATTATGGGCTAGACATAAGCCCAAATCGACACGATTGGACAGGACAAAGCGTTCACTGATGGCATTTTAGTAACTATAAGGAAGTTTCACCAGAAATTAACTCACTTCGAAGTATCTTCAAAATCCACCAAATCCACTCAATTGAACCATGAAAAAACCATCACTTGTTCCACCCAGCACACTAAAGTAGCGGCTAAAAAACACCCGATAGCTCGGAGGAGCTGACTACGTAAGACATCAAACATCTACACAGATGGTATCGGTGATGAGTAGATAAACTCTATGTCAAGCTCAAGGTTTTTTTGACTGAAGCCACACATAAAGTAACAAATGAAAAAAAAGGGAGGATCAATATCATAGCAATGAGCATGGCACGCGTTGCCAGTACCACCATTATTACTGTTTACTACTGGGATAATTGATAAGTTGAAGCTCACACTGCATAGCGAGATGGAATTCAGTAAAAAGACGACACATGTTGGACATTGGTGAGCATTTCCTTCCTCACCATATTTCAGTCTGTGAAATGGATGCTAAGGCAATACATGATTCATGAAAAGCAAGCAAGAGATCCCAAATTGTCGTTTCAGAAAATGACCAAGTGAACAAAATTACTAGATTGAAAGCAGCAGAAAAATACTATGCAAGAGTAGTTTCGTAAAAACGCCATCCGAGTGGAGGTGTAACATAAAATTGTTCCAACTTTATTGCCTTTACAGTGGCAGCTACTTGACAGAAGCGTACCCGAAAACTTAACTACTGCGTAGGCGGGAACTTAAATACATCAAAGTGGGAATCTGCAAAGCCGAGATGAATGCGGAATTTACTGCCTGGAGGCAACTGGAATCAATTACTTCAGGAGCATATATTCTACCTTCGGTTATCGTCAGGACTGAAGAAACAAATCGCGTAAAAAGTTAGTCCCTCCAGCGTCCGAAAGAACAGCCGCACCATATCGTTTGTTGAATCAAGTTAGCGACCATATACAATACAAAGGATCCAAAAACTCGCCTCGCCTTAACGCCCCCCTCTTGCATGTGGAATTTCAACGCCCACAAGGCAGCAGTATGCCCGAACATGGCAGGGTCGAAAAAAAGTGTTCACCAGATCACCCAGGCAACCTAGAAATGGGCGGGACCAGTAGGCAGCTCTCGCTACTATTAGCAAGCAGCATTTGATCGATTTAGACAAAACTTTGGCTCAAAGTGTGCCACAAAGAAATAAATGAAAGAGATCTGTAGAGAGAGGGATTTTTAGATTGCCACGATTTTGGGTCAACATTTCAAATTCTAGAATGGCTCCGCCCTACACTAGGATTTTGAATCTCACCGGCCAATTATTACAGTGCGCATGGAAAGTAATCGTTCCCAATTGTAGCGCAAACAGGGTAAAGTTCTAAGTAAGTTGTGGGAAATCGTGCGAATGATACTAAGTTGAATGTATATAACTGCAGAGAGAAAAGAAACTTATCCTCATTACACTGCCAGGCCGTAGCCCTCATCATCAACAACTCCGAGGTAAAAAATGAGGTGAAAGGAAATGCCGGAATGTGGGGAGAAATCAAAGCAAATGCCTGGTAGACAGACCGCTTTTCTTTCACCTACTATAAGGGATGAGATATTGAACCACACCAACTGATGACATAGTCTTTGATTGAACGTACGTGGGTGAATGTGGGCGGGGGCAAAACGCATAAAATTGGGACTTTTTTAAACAAAGGTAATCTTTGCATACGCTACAATAAGGTCACCAAAGATAGGCAAAACACGATCTCTACAAGAGCAACAATGCCTCCTTGTGGAACAATGAGCCTATTTTATGATGGCTGATGGCGCAGACATACGAAGCCTCACTAGTGTAAGGTGTCACATAAAAAGCGTGACGAAGCATTTAAACACAAATATCGTAGCCAACAATGTGTAGCCATCAAAACAGTTTTTTTAGTTTTAGAGTAATTAAACGTGAGAAGAAGCATAAACGACACAACAAGTAGCATGAATGTACTTCTCGAAAACGAAAGTTAATACGCCTAGCACATGCTTACGTAGATTGAGCAGAAAAAGATGCAGTAGTACTGCTAAGCGGAGGTTTGTAGATGAATTAAGAGAGCAAGGATATGAGTAGCCCTGATTGGCATTAACAATCGAAGTAAATTATATAAATTCAGTAACAGGATTTTTTCCCATAGTAAGAAGTATTGATGTTTGTCTTTATAACAGAGATCAATTTTGTAGTAAATAAGCATAAGATGCCGGATGTAAATAGCTCTGATAGCACACACCTACCCATACATCGTACTTCGCATTTAGGGAAGGCGAATTCGAGCATTACACCTGACGAAAAATTGCGCATTTTATAGAGGACCTTAGAGTTTAACATTCTGGAGGTGAAATTGGTGAAAAATGATTTTGTGTAGGCAAGACACCCAAAATAGGGGGTTGAAACCACGAGGATTCACAGTGGAAGTACGAAAGGAATTTAATCGGCTTTTGATGACCTTTCCTAAGCATTTAGTTTAGGACTCAGGTAACAACGAAATGAGACAACGTTACATACATCTCCAAAAAAAACACCGGCCATCACGAGAAATCTCGAGTTCCGGAACCCCCGAACAGGGTAGGAATCTGAGAACGCCCCTTCTATGCCACGTGACAAAATTAGCTTTTGAATTTAGCATTCAATAGTTTAAGTTAAAATAGAGCGGCAGTTATGCAAAAAAAATGACAACGAAAAAATACTAAAAGCAGAAAACCAAAAAACTCTAACATTCATAGTAGAATCACTGAGCAAACAGTCGACTTTTGATTAGGCACCTCCTACAACTAGACAACTACATAGAAGACCAAGTAGCAATAAAAAAGTAAATGTACGAATAGAATAGGAATAGTGTTGAATTTCTAAAAAAGTTATTTGATTTTGATTTAAGAACAGATTATTTACGAAATATTGCCGGCAAGCGAATTTCACTCGTGGTAGTAAGTCGTCCGGCTTTTCCCCAGTTAAATTTCAATAAAGTCTATGTGACAGAGTACAAGGAAAGGTGGGGCCTTCTTAATGTAGCACGGACACATTCCTGTTTTCTAATTGACCTAAGTACAATCTATAAATTATCGTTACGATTATCAGTGCAGGAATATAACAGATAGAAGAAAGTGGCAAGACGTTCTAAACAAAACAAAAGCATATTCGTGATTAAAGACGATCGCAAGTTGTCGATTTCAAGGATCATTCGAGCGTCAAAGCAGACTGATAGACTGATGAACCTACGAAAAAGCTACTATAACAAAGAAAGCATAAAAAGACAAATATGAACAGCCTTGAAACCGACTCAGGCTAAATGCTTCTTTTACATACATTAGAAGACATTGTTAAGCCTCCACTTTACAATGAAAAGGTTAGTTTACTCACTAAGACGCAACCACACTACACCATCTTTGTTTCTGACTCAAAGACATAAAAAATCTACTGAAATCGCCAATGGAGGAGCCTTACAAATGAGGTACATATTATGGCGTTCAATGAAACGAAGATGTGACCTTAATTACGGTTCAAAACTCGAAAATATTTATCTGACTTTTGTGAATTAGAAACCCACATAAAAGCTACGAAAGAGCGGTGACTCACTCTTCTACATATCCACAAAGATCGCATATACCCTTGAGTTGGGATCGAGGGCTGTAGCTGGAGAAGAAGTCGGAAGAGTAGGGCACCTGGTTGAGGTACTTCGAACTTAGGTTCTCGGAGGAGGGGTGGGTCGTATAGGGCGGTGGTTGAGGCGATAGTGTTGGCAGTTTCTGGAATCCTTCACCACTACCACCACCATTAGCTCGCATTCGAAGATCCATTTCATACTCTTGTTTTTCTGAATTCATCGTGCTAGATAAAATAACGAGACTAATATATTAGACAACAACTTGGGTAAGGCACACTAAAGTAAACATGGAGGAAAGAGGATACGAAGAAGGTTCTTCGGAGTTGGGAATCAAACCACTTGCTCTATGAAAGATTTGGATGAACAGCAGGACCCAAAAACCCCTTATAAATGATCATAACCAGGAACATAAACCACAATAGCCTTATTTACATCTAAAGGAGACCCGGTGAATGATTACGAGTTTCTACATCCACACCCAGAAACAAATGAGTTAGAAGCAGCAAGCGGAAATGCAAAGCCTGGTAAAGGTGAAACCACTAAATACGCTTACATTTCATAAACAAGCGGATTTCGCGACCGGCGGTAGCCCTGCATTTTCTCGCATACACCTATACGGGAGAAATTATTACCCTAAGCCAGTTAGGATTATAGGTGCGAAAATCCAACGATGCCATGTGTTTAGGGGTTGCAGTTCATTCAAAGTGTTAGTAATCACCAGTCATGCAATTTTGAAGGCTCTACACTACCAGTTGCCAAAGTAAACGGGAGGACATAACAAGTAGAACCTGACTGAGAATTGGCCACCCAATTCGGTTCCAAAAAGGCAGGACACAGAAAATTAATATGGAAACTAGTATGAGTAGGGTCTAGCGAAACTAGGGTAAAGGATTGAAATAGAATAAAAAAGCTTTTCCAAAAACGAACATACCACCAATCAAAACGAGAGTCGGTAAAATTAAATGCTCGCTTGCGAGTTGACTATCTTAAACAATTAGGATAAGGCACTACAACTAAAATAAGTTGTTATTCGTCATTATAGTTGTGCTATTAAAAAATCTGCATGAAATACTGAAAAACCGTGGTAGCAAACTATAATTTTCACCTTAGCAGACCCTCTCAACGACAACATATGAATCCCGAAAAATTTCATTGCAGAATAAGTGAAAAATGCTAGCTTTTCTAATTTTAAACTTCAAAATTTGTTTTACCTATTTAAAAATCTTTAAAACATGTCTTATGGGTTTTTTTTAAAAATCTATGTAATCAGATAACATGTATCGTGAACAAATTATTTTAGATCCTTCAATAGGTATTGCAATCCATTTCGACCCTCTCGTAGGCTGCGATCTGGACGGATTTTATGTGGTAGTTATAAAATCAACCTCCTTATGCCTTGACAGCTCGTTTAACACGGCGCTTGTGTAGCGTTTACGAGACTCCCTGAAGACGAAAGAAGACACAATACTCAGGCAGAATACATATTTTCAGCACGGAAAAGGTGTCTGGGCTATTGGCATGGCCCAAAAGGCCAGCCCACCCAGTGAGGTACAAGGGGGCTACTTTAAAGTACAAAAGTGGCGCCTCCCCAGAACCGAGGGATAAACCACTATAGTATTACACTTGATCAGCAAATCGTGCTCGACGGCATGGCTATCGGGCCACGACAGTAGCCACAGCTCATTTATACCCCACTAGTATACCTTCTGCGTACTACTATGACCCCTTTCGAGCACAAGGAAGATTTGGGGCTCTGTATGCTTACTAAAAGCTCAGGTATATACGTTGGCAATCACCTCGTCGTACCTTAGCAAATTGTATTTTTGAGCTGCGACATAATTATCTGAGAAGCAGACGGACACAAATCTTACCCTTTTTGAAGTGACTTAGTTGCAATAATATCGATGCGATACGATGGTTGTTTATCTCACCTTGTTGGCAGGGATCCACTTTTGACTTGGCCTTTGTACTTCTTTAGATGGGCTAGCCTTTGGATCATGCCAGTGGCCCAAACACCGTCTCTGTGCCAAGTATGTATATTTTGCCAGAGTATAATGTCTCCTTTCGTTTTCGGAAAAGTCTCAAGACGCTACAATCAAGGGTGGTGAAAAGGAATTTTAACTAATACTTTCAACAGGAATAATCAAAATTAGCGAAGTTGTACGAAATCCATTAAAATAGACTACATTTCCTTTTGATTTTTAAACAAACGCTTGACTTGCCTTACTTGGTGCTCCGAGACTTTTTTGAAGACTTTAGGCGACATAATACCCGGGCAGAAAATATTTATTTAGCATACGGAAAGCACTAAAGCTACTGGCATGGCCCGGAGTCCTGACCGCTCAGCTGCGTACAATAGCCAGGTTGGAAAAGTTACTCTTAATTAAAATCGGAGGTTAAACAACCATCGTATTATACTTTCCCTGGTATCTACATCACACCTTAAACCAAAAAACCGTAAATGTGCAGGCGTTTTGGTTACCTTACAAACGTGAATGTTTTTGTAAGCAACTTTTCTAGACTTAAGATGCTTAATGGGTTTATATAGATTGCAGATTGCCCATGGTTTAGTAAGTGTTTATGCAGGTTAATGTTTATCTACTCATGGATCACCGTAGTAACCACTGGGATCGCCTTTCGTTGCTTCAACCTTGCGCATCGGGTCTCAAATAAGGCGCAAATTTATTAAAATCCGGGATCATGTGCTATGATAAGGCGTATATTTTTATTGTTTGGATTTTGTGGTATTCAGTTTCTTCGGTCAGCACCCTGACAAACAAGTCTCTTTTGCTTGTTTTCGGATACCCGCTAACGGCAACCATAAATCAACTTGTGCACACAGTTGTCTTAGGATACCTCCTGTCCACTGTGTCTGGTTATTCAACACTTCGTGAGATATTTGGTGAAGTGAAAGCAGAGTTAAAAGCTTTCTTCACTTTGGGCTTTCTCAACGCACTTTCCATAGCACTTTTTCATTTTGGGATGGCCATGTTGTCAGCAGCATATATTCATACAAGTAGGTCTGACTTCTTTTCTTATAAAATAGTTAAGACATCAGTTCCAATATTTGTTGTTGCTACTTCATGTTGTCTCGGAAAGCGCTATTCATTTAAGGTAATTCCATTTACTACATCATTTAATTCCACTGCTTCGTTGTATACTTTTTTAAGAGCTCTAATCTTGATGTAGCTAATGCTTTGTTAGCTCAAAATTGCATACAACTCATCCTAATCATACCTTAAACTTTGCCTTGATTTATTACACGTACCATTTATTCCTTTGTAGACTTACACAGCACTATTGGTTATTCTTTCTGGAGTCATGATTGCGTCAAAAACAGAGATGTCATTGACATCAGAAGGGCTAATTATTGGTCTTTTATCAGCTATGGGCACCGCTGTCTCTAGTATTTATATGAAAATGGTAATTTAGTGTGTGAACTTTGATACACTTGCGTGGGTGCATGCATCTACTCATAAGGTAATTCTTCGCTAATAGGTTCTGACGTCTTCAAGTCTCCACGCAAGTGACATTATGTTTGTTGTAGCCAGTGCCAGTGTCTTTTGCATTTTTCCTGTTTGGGCTTTTGTGGACCTTCGAAGGATGATTTGCACTGATAGAACCCAACTGGTAAACATCATTATTCTGAAGAATACATAACGTCTTTTGGAGGCGTCAGTAAATCTTTGTTGTAGTTGCATTATTTATATCCGTTTAACTTTGTAATATTGTTTGCCTAGTGTTTTTTATATTCGTTTCATAATTGTGTTGAGACTTTAAATGCTAAGAACTCGCGAGTAGTTTAATTGCATGTGTGTTTTCCTTTCACAGAAAGTTAGGAAGGATTTTGAAGCTTCCCGAAATATTAACAACACCACTAGCTTATTAAGTCAATCGTCATTGATACAATATTATAACAAATTTACATGATATAGTGATGTTTTTGTTCTGGATGTTAAGACTATCTCGGTTTTAAGAACTATCGCATCATCTTGATTTTCTGAAAAATGCCAGATATAGTGCTACCAACCTCTGTACTTTAAATAATGTATAGTTCTTTTTTATTTTAATTAACCTTTTTCTCTTGCATTCATTACCAGAATTAACGCTTTTGTGACCAAATATTTAGGTATACCTGGTTTGATACCAAGTAAACTAGAGGCTTAAATTCGGATAAACCAGTGGGACTAAAGGCTTTGAAAATTTTGCTAAAACTTTACGCCTAAGAGGAAACGTTATTGTCATTTTGCTTTAAAGTGTTCCAGTGGGTTTGTCTCATCTTTTTTGACCATTTAAAAATGTATGCTTTAAACAAAGCACTACAGATACTTTTTGATCTTATTACTATGCGGAATTCATCGACCTTGTCACATAAAAGACTGGAAGTTTACCCGGATTAATTGACGCTTGAATCATATACGCCCGAAACCTTCAGTCAACACCTCTGTCTTGATTCAGCTGACCCAGTTCAGAAAGGTCGCCTACTTGTTGTTTTTGGACGGAGTGGCGCGTTGCTTACAGAACCTCGTGGCTATTGTGATGCTGAATCACCTCACGGCACTGGGCTACTCAGTGGCCAGCGTGATGAAGCGCTTTGTCGTCATTCTCACTGCCATCGTCTTCTTTGCTACCCCTGTCTCTGGCATGACTTTCTTCGGCCTCGGCCTCGCCATGACCGGCCTACTCTTATACAACCTTGTACGTTTTCCACTTCTTATTTTACTTCGTTCCTCAGATTTAACCCCCCCGCAATGTCGAATTTTTAAGCCAAGTCAGTACAAAGACATATGTGAGGGGTAGTGAGATAGATGCTTCACTCCAGAAATATACACAAAAATAAAATACCTCAGGGTTGGCTTTGCTTTTGCATTTTGAAATAGTTCATTCCAGTTTCAATCCTTCTACGTTCAAACTTTCTACTCGTCAAATATTTATTAATGTCTAGCGATAACATACTTGGGTTGCATAAACTAGCTGTACCAGCAACATTTTCATAATTTGATGTGCTAGATAACAGCATTTAAATAAGTATATAGTCGTCTCAAAGCTCGTAATTTCGTTTTGATGCTAGCAGCAAGGATTTTGTAATTCTTCATGCGTTTCATTTCATTTTTCAAAGGGAAAATTCCCTTCTTAGCTTCCTCGAGTCTTAATTGGACCATCAATTAGTTACAAATGGCGCCAATTGTGGCAGTCAAATCGGAACCTGGATCAGGGAATTGGATTATGATAGGCTTTTGTGTCTAGTTTTTCTTCGGTATTCTAGCTTACATTAAAATAGCGGATAACTTAGTCTTACTAATTTTTCCAAGAGAATAATATTTTGTCGTCACTTTTGCTATATGTGTCACATTTAACGATTTTTGCTTTCTAAAAAATCCTCACTTCATCTTGAGAGTCGATTGCTTTTGTATTTTATGCGTATGTGCGTGGTTCTTGCAGGAAATTTCCAAAGGAAGTGTGGGTGGCGGATAGGAGAATTTATTTTGTAACGTATCGTACACATTTTCCCTAATCCACTATGCATAATTTCTTAATTTTATAGACACAGAAGAGGAGAGATTCCCTGTTACTGATTCTTCATATTTTTTGTTAGTATCTGCTCATCCATGAAATAAGACAACACATGCTTCCAACGCTCCCTTGGAGTCAGAGGGCAGTGTACAAGCACGTAGCTTAGGTCATCTGTAATGCTTGTAAATCTTCCTTCTTTTTGAGTTTTCTCTGATAGTCACCTTGGTGACAATTTTTTTCCTGTTTGGCAAATTGAGATGACACAGAGCTCAGAAGTAATGGGACCTCCTGAAGACCGTCATTTAATCTAAATTCCTCAATTGCATTAGCAATCAGAAGCATACTTTTCGAGCTGATAGATATGTATGTGGACTGGAGAACCCTTACATGTTCAAGGGGAATATCCGAGGAGTAAATGACTTCAGAATAGATGCATTTACTGTCTAATGTCATTTTCTTAACAAATCACTTATTAATAAATGTCCTTAGGCGGTTAGAAAAAATAAGACCAAAAAGAGGATATTATTGAAATTATTTCCAATCCACTATCTCAATAACCACATAACATCGTGGAAAAAGCCTATTTTATGAATGGCATCTGGAGCTTGAATTGGCGTGGTTTTCCGAAGCGAAGTCTACGTACGCAGAACACTACCCACGCATCGTTAGGTGTGGCAATTTTGTTTCACCGCCGTACTCAATTCATCAATCGTCACTGTGCTATAAGCCAGACATTTCTAAAGAAATGGGTGATGGGATGCATTTAGCATTGACGGAATACTTTCTTCTTACTCATAACTAGGCCACTTAAAACCGAATTTTGTATCGTCTCCGGAGAAGCATTAAACTATCAAGAGTTTCGCTTCTCCCAGCTTCTGTGATCCCTCTGTTTCACTGAAATGAAAGAAAACTACCGTTCTCAAAGTCATCATTTAAAGGGATTGTAATCTAGCCTTAGTTGACATGGTACCTTCTCACTTTTAGAGAAATATTAATGAAAGGTAAAAGTGGCATAAGGAAGTGATGCTTTACTGATTCTTTCCCTCGAGATCATCTAGGAATTGGCGAGATTCGTGCATTCACTATGACTGTGACTGGCTTAGTCATTGCAATTTTAGTACTACTAGAAGGCTAACATGGAATAATTCAAGCTGACAATGCGAGTGAGTGTTTAGAAAATGTTCATCTAAAGAATGCGTGACGACTTTAAATCACTCTCGTTATCCTTTTCCATAACAAAAACTAAAGCAGGTGTAGTTTGTCATAAAAAAGTTATGGAGTTGATCGAACTATGGATGAATGGAAATGAGTGGTGAACAATTTATTATCTCGGCTATGAGTTTATTTTACTAATGGCTGCAATTTTTACTCTAGATTGGTAAACTGAATTTAGCCCAGCTTTAGAGGTTGAGGCTATTTCTAATGCTGCGTATACGTCTTGACAGAAGGAAATTAAGAGTTCTCCATTTAAACCTTTATTGTTCTAGTGCAACAGAACAATCCTTTGGGGGCTTCAATCATTAACTTTCAACATGTTATATTTGGAAATGGTTAATTAGATACCAACTGGGTAGGCGACAAGTTGGCAACGAAGAACGCACAGGGGACGTAGTGAAACTCAGGCAATTGAAATCAAAATAGCAGCCAGTGGATTTTTTTACTCTCTTTTGATTTACTTTGGATTTACTCGTAGCTGGGAGACATTCTCAAAAGTAAAACGAGTGGATTTACACTATTAGGGTTTCTTCTCTGCTTCTACTGTAATTGCCGTTGAAAAGCTAGTAACCTGGAAATGCACAGGTTGCTTTACACGTACAGTCATGTCACATTTAGGGAAACCAGGTGATTTTTACAGCTGGCGCCATATCGTAATGAGATGGGATAAAATAATGAGAGTGGACTGGGTTGCTACTTTGTCAGCCACGATTTACTCATTCAGATACGATCTTGCCACACCTGTCAAAATGTATTACTGCCATGGGAAACAGGATCATCATTCTACCTCGATCATCAAAAGGAAGTTAAGTAAAAATGATTTTGGAAACGTGTTAGATTCTATGAACGAATTTTCCAATTCCGCTGCAACTAATGAGTAAGTTGAATGAAGTGGGACTTTTTACAAGTTAAAGCGCTCGCTATTCTTTTAGTAGATCAGAAATTCTACCGGAACAAGTGGAACATACTTTATGGCTTTCACTTTACCATAGCTGCTTTCTTCTACTCTTTGTATTTTTATCGAATCAAATAACTCCGAAATCTATACATAGCAGATGCGATTGAACCCATTTCATCTTCTTATTTTTTCTTAAAGACAAGTAGCTAGGGGTTTAACCAAATTCATTCTGTCCATTACCTTGGTGGAAAAGACCATTGACTTAATCAAACCTCTGTGTTGGAGCATTTGTACCCAAAATGATATCGCATTTTGACACCCTTTTATTTTCTGGTAGATTTCATCATAGGGTGCGTGGACTGGTACTTAAATAGGGTACTTGCAAGCATTTTTAACGTATCAATTCCTGTTTGTCTAAAGCACTTTTTATATCTCCAAAGACGCTATAAAAGTGTTGGCCCACAGCTTTCTTTGTCATGGAGTCAGATTGAGGAGGCAGAAAATGCATGTATGTATCCAACTGGATTTGTGAAACGTCTGTTGACACAATTCGATTCTCGTATTTGGTCGGGCGATAAATAACAAGATTGTGACCTTCTATTTTGTAGAGTAAGGATGGCCAATCCAGAGACCCGAGCCAGAACTCTGAGTTGGAACAAACCGATGAAAATGGCTCAATGAAGGAGGTGCGTATTGACACTTTTTCAAAGCACCACCAACCCATCAGGAACTTGGCATAGAAATAATGCATTTTATATTGTTGCTACCTTCTACTTTTTTAAAGAGAGATTAGTGGAGTGCCTTTGCTTTGTGACGTGTATGGCCTTTTGTTACTAGAAAGTAACATAGAAGTTCAGCTAAAGTATGTAAACGAAAGGTGTGCGGTTCGGTGTGTGCAGAGTGTGAGCGCGTGAAACTAAGATGTTACATATAGATGGGCTACGTAAATGACCCTGTTGCAAAAAATTTGTTAATAATTTGATGTCATCTTTTTACAATGTGGTTGGTTGATTGAATTGGCTTGCATCAGCTTTTGTTGAAGCTGCATTTTAATGCTGTTGGGGCTGGTAAATTAATCAGTCTAGGTCAGTATAGTGCTGACGAGTATTCTGGATTAAATTTATGCTTCGCAGATGTGGTTTTCGCCATTTGGTGAGATAAAGGGGCAAAAAGGTAGTTTAGTGCAATGCGTTCGTGGGTTGCGTAACTCTCGGTTTTGGTAACGGGGCCACGCAGATGCTCCACCATTTTCCCTTTGCCAAGTTGGTTGGCATCCAGAACGTGCCAGCAGCTTGAAGTCCTGTTGAGATCGGTAAAACATATTCTGCCTGAGTATTATACCTTTTTTCGAATTCGGGCGAGTCTCGGTACGTCACGCGTCCATAAAAGTCACTTTTTTGGAGACCAAAAAGTAAAAAATATATGTAACTTGCCATAGCGATGCGTTGTTTGCTGTCTCAAACAAGGTAAATCAAAAGATTAGCTATGTGATTGTAATTGAAGAGGACTGAATTGTAGCGTCCCGAGACTCTCTGAAGACGTAAGAAGACACAATACTCGGGCAGAATATATATATTCAGCACGGAGAGGGTGTCTGGGCTATTGGCATGGCCCAAAAGTCCAGCCCACCCAGTGAGGCACAAGGGGGCTAATTCAAAGTACAAAAGTGGCGCCTCACCAGAACCGAGGGATAAACCACTATCGTATTACAGAATAGCTTAATTGGTGAAGAGGACCTAAACAGCGCAGAAGAACACGGATTCGCACATATGCCTTGGGTAGTACTCGCAATCTGGCTTAGTAGAATACGGAGGAAAAATTAAATCAGGTGATCAGTGGTCCATCAAAAGCACCTCTCCTATGCAGCAAACGCTTTAAAAATCTGCTATCTGAAATAGGTAAAGTAGCACTGTAAAAATTTTGACGAACCTGGAATTGCCGAAATTAGTTAAAAATCGCAAAACAGTGCAGTTTTTAGCAGATGTCTATTCTCAGGGAGTCTGGGCTAACTTTGTTTGAAATCATCGCTATACGTCCGCTCCATTCAACTTCCTTCAAGGTATCCTTTCTTCATGCATGTTATTCCTATGTTGTTTTACGCGAATTGACTGGGATTCGGAGGACCTTCTAATAGAATTTAATGACCATTTTATGAACTTGTGCTCTCTTTATCTTATCTGTTCTGATTCAGCAAGCATCGCTGGGTTCATGTGCAACAAATTCACCGTCAAATATTTTAACCATTTTCTTTACCTTACCCTTACATTTCCTAAACACATGTTCGTATTGCTAACCTTAAGAGTCTCTAGCACCAAAATTTAAATTTTTTGCATTTATTGTCCTATGGTTATTTTAAACGACAAATGTGTTTTCTTAGTTTTCAGATAACCCGTTTCAGTCAAAAAGTGTATCCGGATGCTTCTCTAGCGCTGCATTCTGCATTGATTTGCAAAGCCAGCCTATAATACTGGCGTAGTCACACTTAAAAGCTATTACAGCCCCCTTGATCACTAACCGTAGCCTGTGAGGACTTTTTCCAATTACATGTCCGGCTTGTATTTCCATTAAGCGAGGTTGAAAACTGACCCTTTCTGTATTGTTATCGAGGAAACCTTATGTGTTTGGAGTATAGTGTTTTTGGTTTATATTTATCGGTTTTATTCAATATTTCCGCCTAATTCAGTACTTTTTTCATGTTGCTTGCTTAATTTTGAGTTTTAAAAACACTTGTCATATTACCATAACTACACGAAAGTCATAATTACGAAACATTTTGCGTTCTTGAAGGTGTACTGCTGGCCTAGCTTTCCTGGTCTGCAAATATTTTTTATCATTCAGCCCCTATATTTACTTGTTTCGCCGTCTGTTATATTCGTAGTTATTACAACGACAATGTTACATGTGTTCATTTTTGCTATTGTTATTTATGTATGTACAAATTCCATCGTTACTAAGCACATGTGTATAAACAAGTTGGCCTAACTTCTGGTAACCAAAGTGCCTAAAGTTCGTCCAATATTTTAAATAAATCGAGTCTGGGACGTATGCATCGGCTGTAGCAAATCAGGTTATATTTAATACATATTCAGGGTGTTTGCTAAGTCAAGCATTATTCTCGCTGTAAAAATCTAAGTAACCTGCAGCAGCAGCTATCATTCAAACGTATTTTGTGCTCCGTGGTTGTGATGATGTCGACGATACCAGCCCCTCCTTACACCTTTATCGGGCCGGTACCGCTTCATTGAAGATGCTTATTTATCCTGGTAATCGCATCTCAGAGTATATTGTCCTAGTTACCTTCGGTTGAAGTAGCTAGGCTTAAGTGCGTCGCATTATCATGGTTTACCATGGTAGAGCATGCCTTTTATTTATCGCATTCTTCGTGCGTTGCAGTATTTATGGCGACTTCATCAGAAATATACACACGTGCTATCAGTGTCCAAAGTGTTAGTGCATTAAAATTATACATTTTTTAACAGCTATTGTTTAACTCGTTCCGTGCTACGTGTCACATCGTCTGCGTTCAAATGTAGCGCTCGTGGCTGCATTTCAAGACCTGCGTGTGTATATTTAATGTCTTCTCACCTCCTATAGTCGGTGTCATAGGGACTATATATCTCGACAGGTCCATTTTTTGTACCATTTACGTGTGGTTCGCTGTGCTATTGTATGGGTGAACAAATCCTTTATGTAGCTATATTCTGTTACTGCTTGCTGATATGATTCCAAGAATCTAATACTCTGAAATAGTAGCACTGATCAGATTGTTGTGGTTAATCTGTGCCTATCTTGAAACAGATCCGTCCAACACTTCTTTCATGGGGTGATTTCTCTGTATCGACGTTAAGTCAGGTCACTCACGTAACTCGATAGTGGTTAGGATGGAAACTTTCAGTCAGAACGGTGTTTTCCACCGAGGCCTTTTTTCTTGGGTGCTGTGCTGTTATGTTGTTCTTGGTTTTTAAAACCTCATAAGACTATTTGGGGAGTAACTATAAGCCAAAATATATGTTGGATACTCTGATTTTTTACCATTTAAGATGGACAGCCAGTGAGAAATGTCAAAACTATCGGCAGCTCTAATTTAATGGTGATTTAACATTTGAGACTGGGAAATACATCCTTTTGATGGTATTTTGGAATCGTCAGAAACCTGCCGGTTGATTTAGAAAACGGCATTGGGTACAAAATCACTCGAGGGCCGATTGCAATTAATGCTCTTCGTCAGTTCACAATTAACCGATACAGCTTCTAAGTAGTTTCCCTCAAAACAGTTATTCAGACCATTTGATTCGTGAGGTTTGTGTTTCTCGCAACCATTTTGGTTAAATTCTGTCGAGATATTTTACTTTGGCTGAATGCTGTAGAGGAGCCTTTATAATCTACATGACTCCATTTAATGGTTGCCTGCAGTCTGGCCAGCTACCCACAAGCTCATTGCAATGCATTACGGCTGTTTACAGGAGTGTTGCAACTATCCACTTCACCAATCCGCAATGCTTCCGCTTTACTATTCCGTACCCATCTGAATTCCGTTTGCCCTGGCGCATAAACATCAACGTACGTCAATCACATTATATGCGGTGCTATCCGAGACCAATATGCTGCTTTAGTTAAAAATTTCGACTGAAAAGGTTATCAAATGTGTAAGTTTGGATAGAATTTTATCATAAATGTACAGATGAGCATACTGGCAGCAATGGCGCAAACGGAATACCATGTCCCCAAAGTGTTGGCTGAAATCCATGGAGACGTTTCTAGTGGTTAAGTGTACGGTTAAGACCAGCATCTTCCTTCCACATCAGCCATGCCAACATCTTTACACCTAGGTGCCTCCGCTTTGTGCCCGTTTCAGACACAAAAGAGCACACCTACACGCATTCGGATGTTTTGCCCTGGCTCGGTGCTCCCCGTGATGCTCTTTTTCTGTACTACTTCTCTCCTCGCCTCCATGGCTGTGCTATACCTCGTCCTCAATTCACCACCACCTCATTGCACAGAGGCGTGTGAAACAGAGGAGTCACAAGCATCGGTGGTTTCCCTGGCACCGGATCTCCTTCTACCTCTTCTAGCCGTGATCACGCGGCACGTGCCCTCGGTGGCACGCTACCTCGTCGCATGCATGGCGTGGCTGTGGCCTCTCGGCATCCTTTTTCTTCTTCCTATCGCCTTTGTCGCCCTTCTCTACTTCACCGCTTTTCTGGTTCAACTCTACTGTCTTCGTGACTGGCTCATTGGTAGGTCCCCATCCCCCCGTCAACACTATCTTCAAAATCGCTAGTACTCAAAGAAATCGTTGTTGCTATCTCCACCACCACTTCTGATGGACAGCACTACTCTGCTGCCACTACTATCACCAGCATTATTTCTTCATGTTCGATACCGGTGTCATGTGCAACGCTCTGGCTTTTTTACAGAAGCCCAATATCTCAAACTTATGCGAGGTGCATCCTCTGTCAAGCTGTGACCATTGTTTGCGCCAAATTGTGTTCCAAACAGATTGGTCAAATTTAAAATAATGAGATGGATGTCAGTTGTTCTTGTTCTAAGGATAGTTATCGTTCCCTAGTTTTTGGGAAGCAGTTAAATTCATCTATTTGGCGGTGTTATTGCTGGTCATACTAAACCAGTGAAATATCTAGGCCGTATTGACTAATTTTCCCTTGAGGCGTTGGCGGTGTCTAGTGTTAGAATCACTTTCTCTCATCGTAATATGGAACCGAATAATAAATATGCAATGCAATGAATAGTGATTTGCTGAAATTATTGGAAGCGGCGGATACATACCTCGAAATATCCCCAAGTTTGTAGTGACAAAGCCTGACGTTGCTGCCGTTCCAACAATATTAGGTTGCTTAATTCTTTACTTTTAGGAAGCTGGATAGCCAGAACAACTATAATTTTTTTCACTTGGTCAATTGTTAGATAAGCTGAAGGTCAACTGGCCAAGATCGGCCAATGAAAACAGGTCAAAGCAATGACCTATCGATCAGGTAGGCCACAGCGCCGCGCAGTTCGTTGTGCACTACCCGCATTTGTGAACTCGTTATATTACCTTAAGATGGATTGATTCCAAGCATCATACTGGTGGACATTACTCGGTACACGAGGAGTGTTTAGATTAAACCAGGCAAATGAGTTTAAATAGCGGCCATAGGAGGAAAGGGCACATTTTGACCGTCCGCTACTACCTTTCCAGCATTGTCTCCTGTCCCGTTTTTACACCTATCCCAAGCTTTAGTCCCTACCCACAAGATGGCTTTGGCCTGGACAAATGGGTCGGTATGATTTAACCACCCCAAAACAGCTCGTCTGCATTGGCATTCAGCGCGAGCTAGGTTTTTGCAATTGCAAATGCCCGTGAAAGATTGTGCTATATTCATGATATTCATACAAGGACGCATCTCTTGTGCAACTTTGCCGCAGGGCAGGTTATGGGTCGATGAGGACCCCAGAATCGTGTATTTCACGTGCCGGCTGGATGGTAACGGTGACGGCCGTTGAGCTATTACTGCTCGTAGTACCACTACGGTGGCACCCCTTATTTTATCTGTAATTAGAATGGACAAACTTACACAGCAAACAGCGGTATTACGATGGGACTCACGACTAAGTGATCAGGATTGGCTAATATGAAAAGTCACAAAATTGGTCTATCGTTCGAATTATCCCACCCAGGGAATTATGTGACCTGCATACGGGACCTCACCGCCTCCTCGCAATGGTCCACTGTGACAACGCTCCATTCACTTCTGAATACGCTGTAATATAGCCTTTCGCAGCGATTTAATCTCTGCCATTAAGTATACAAAGTCAAGGTGTCTTTAAGTTAGCAGCAGTATCATCAGTTTTGGATTGCTATCAAAGCCACTATGTCAAGTAATATCTTAATTTCAAATGGTCCGTATGGAGTTAATATCATTCTCACTCTTCGTACCATCGATCCAGGTGGTCTGCGAGGCACCGCCGCCAGTAGCAGTGGAAGCAGCAGTAGTACTGAAGAGCCGTACCTGAACACTGATCACCTCTTGCGTCGATTGGTGGCGGTGATGTGGGAGGCGCACGGTCGGGCCTTCCACGGTTACGAAGTGGTGGGCATGGAGAAGTTGCCCGCACCCGGAGAGGGCGCTTTTCTCGTCTATTATCACGGCACTATACCCCTTGACGCCTACTACTTCATCGCGAGGCATATCATTAAGCGAAACCGGTGGGTGTTTACCTGTATTGTTGACCTCTGTAGTTTATTTTGCTTACAGTTTTCCTGACTGCCATTCCGGTAAACCTATCACCGTAAGAATGGCTGTTGAAAGCTCATTTCTTCCAACTGTTGCTGGCTTATCTTGAATCCAGACCCCAATGGGTGTGGTAGTATTACTGATCTCAACTGTGCAATCTTTTTTCGCCATCCCATGTCAATTACTTGGAGGTTCGACTCTGCACCTAATTCCTGACTAGTTTAGGGCATGCGAAGATTTCCCTAATGCTATACTGTACTCGTGGTAGTCGATGAATCTGAGTTCCTGTACCGAAGTCATTTGTTTTGCAACTCTATGTGGGTGAAGAAACTGTTTTATCTTGTCCTCGCAGTTTTACGTTGATGTCTTTTTCACTGAAATGAAAGAACCATCATCGCCTCGGCACTGTTGCTGAAGTATTGCGCATATGCTGAAGGTATGTCGCTTTATTTCCTATTAGTTGAGTGGCTGTATTTGGGAGTAGCGTCTTTTTTTAGTTTGTTAATAACTCCATTTTTTAACCTCTCATGGTACCAATTGCCCTCATTACCTCATTGTCTTTAAGTTTTCTTGCTTCTATGTTGAATGAATTGCCACTTTAAGAAGCACATTTGGAGAAGCTTATGTTCTTACGGGAACGTCAGAGTAATTCCAGTTTGGAATTTCTTCCATCGAGCTTACCATATCGTAAACAGTGCCATCAAAGTACAAGGTGAAAACATGTTTCCTTGTTCAGCTTTTTTATGTATCATCTGGTCCAATGATTGCCTCCTTGGTCTGCCTTTTCTGCTCCTCAGTCTTGCACTTCAAGCCTAACCATGTCTGCTCCCTTTGTGTTAGAATCTGTGATTGAAATCATTTTTGCTTGGAGTTTGGTTCTCATTCAATACCTATTTATTTTCTGCTGTTCAAAGAATTATTAGAAAAACCTGTAATCCCTTCGATTCAACATTTCAGTTCAACGTCTATTTGATAGTGGAGCTGAAGTAGTAGATGAGAGTAGGTAGTTTAGAGATTCAACTTCCATTTTCCAAGTGGCTCCATTTGGGTAATATCTCTCCTTTTTCCTGTTGTTATTGTTGCTGATTATTTTGATGTTCTGTTCTGTGGCTTGTTCCTAACAATTACAGAAACTTAAGAGCACTTGCTTTGCTCAATCCTCTGTTGCTTGCTATCTGGTAGATCGCCTGACTGATTGAACACCAGTGCGTAGAACACTGGCACATCCATGTAAGTGGAATTGCCACAGTAATCAGAACCTCTGGGAAATCGGCCATTCAGCTCTCCTTTGATCAAAATTCTATTCTCAACCTTGTAATTCCCGTTTGCTCTGTTTTTTGCTCTGCATGATTCATTGAGTGGCAAAATTTTACTCCCCATCATATGGGTTTTCTTTCGTGGTGTAGTCTAAGCTTTAATCTTGGGCCCAACTTCTATCCACGCGATTAATGGCTTTACCAAGCTCGGAACTTTGGTTTCCTGCTTCAGAGTCCTCCATTTCTCACCAGGAGTTGTATATACTCTGTTTTTGCAAAACTATTGGTTACCTCCCGGATATCCTTCGAGTTTCCCCACTTGTTTTTATTAATGGGTGTTATGTGCCCTGTACTTTACATTCTTAGGTGCCTTTCTGTTGGAGTCAATGAAAGATTGGGATTTTCATTTAATATTTTTGTTATGCACATCTCATTTCCTCTGTCTGTAAAGTTATAGTCCCTAAGTCCTCTTTGAAGTTGTTGCAAGATGCATACTTCTGAGTATGATTCCCTTATAAATGTACAGTGGAGTTTATTGAGAGTGACAGCAGGAATGGTCTCAACAGAATGTCATGCTTTTAAGCTAGCAATATAAACCTGTGGAGACTGAAGAACCGCAGCGGTGGAGTATGTAGCAATTTTACGTTTGCTGAATCGTGTCAGTAGGTGTCACCCACTTTTACCGCTACATAAGATAGAGTTAGAGTCTTTGCACAGATTGCTGTATTTTATTGCACAATCCCGATTTTCAGGTAAAAAAGATTCCAGTCTGACCCACTAATAGGAAGCGCAATTAAGAAAACCTCGGCTCATTGGTTACTTGGAGAACAATAGTCCGGCAGTGTCACTTTCATTCCCTAATAGGATACCAATGGTTTGTATCTTGTACTTCTCCTCTACTGTAATTCACATGCGTATATGTCGTGTGCAGGCTCAGGTAAGAGAATCGGGACTGCATGTGTGTGTGACGCTGGTGACGAACATGTTAAGGTCGACCAAGCATCCACTTTGGGAGCATATGCCCATGCTTATAAACAAGTAGGCAAGGTAGCTATATATACGTGTGCACCTTTTAAACCTTTGCCTTTTAGACTGCCAATCCCAGTGGTGGATCGCTTTCTCTTCCGACTACCGGGACTTCAACGGATCCTCCGACTGACCTGTGCCCTTGAGGGTTCGGTGGAAGAGTGCGTTGCTCTGCTCAATCCTACCTTAGCTGAATCCAGCAAATCACTCCGGAGCAACAGCAACTCCAACAACCCGAGTTCGTCTCTTGCTATGTCTTTCTCGTACTTTTTTCCTACCGAAGTGGGGTCACTACTTCCACCTTTTTTTTGGTGTGCTTGAACTCTTCTTTTCTTAGTGATATAGTTGTATTTTTGTGTATTTGTCAAAAAGCTAAGTTTACGGAATTGTAGTACGCTTAAGTCCAAATCATCATTTTTTTTTACATATCACCAATGCACCATTTTTGTGGAATCTTTTCTTGGTATATATTGGCAAAGTTACTTCTAATGCAGTAAAATACCATCCCTCATTCTATGATTTTTGGGTAATGAGTAGGTAAAATACACTAAATTTTATTTCACAGTAATAGAACTTTATCTCTCACTTCTTTTCTTAAACGAACTAGGGATATCTTGGAGTGTTAATCGAGAGAGCTTGTTAGCATTACTGGTATGATTTTCATCCTTTTAACTATGGAAATACTTCTGGGGTGGCAAATCTCGTAGGCAAGAGGAAAGGTGGCCGAGTGATCAAAGACAAGACCTTTTTGTGATTTAAATTGTCAAAGGTGAGTGCGTTGAACAACCTTAGCTTGGGAAAATGGGTGTTTTTTTCTTTGAGTTTGCCACGTATGAAGTGGATTCAATCTTAAAACGCTATGGCAATAGAAAAAAAGGAGTGTGATTAAAGTGTGGATTTGTTATGCACAAAGCAAGCTTATGGTGATAGTCGTGAGTCAGAGTTACATTATAAAATACCGCCAGACGCTGTTGATAAAATGAGCCGAATTGCCACTTTCCCTAGTAATTTTCGTTACAATATTTAAAAAGAGTGGGACAAGGATATCTTTACTATCTTTCTTTGGATCAAATTTCTATCTTTTTAACTAGTCAAATAGTTCCTTCTGCGTGTAGTATAGTTTTCAATGCCTTCTCCATCTCAAACGCACCATTATGAGAAACGATGGTGGGCTTGTCGTGCATCTTTGAGATATTCTAAGAATGAACCTTAAAATAAATTATACTAAGCAGGAAACATTAGATGTTTTGGAGTTTGATGTAGAAGGTGTGTTTCTCAAGCCTCTTTGTGCCCATCATCTCCCCGGTGGGTATTTGTTCGTGTAAATTTTTCCACTTCAAAATTACAATAGCTTTAAAATTTGCACGTTAGGGATTGAATGCAAGGATGGTGAACCGAGAATAACTTCAGACGGACACATCATAAGTGAAAAATGAAACGTGCTTTTAACTTCACTGTTTATCTCTTATCCCATCTCGCCTAAATGTGGCTATGTTCAAGGGTGTTAAGCTGACAATCTGCTTACTTCATTACAGAGTAAGCGCCACGGTAGAATTTTTAACTTCTTTACGTATAACTCTTTTCGCCTTCTGGTCTTCACTCTAGGTTAGTAAGTACCGAAGTAAAAAATCTCATGCTGGTTATAGTCACAGTATTTTCTTCAAACACTGGAGCGCACTATCTCATGTACAAAACCGGAAATGCCGGTAGATAATAATGTTCCTTTAGTGTCACAGCTACCGTTTCCGAATCGTGTTCTATAATACAGATGCATAGATTTAATTCCTTTTCTAGTGGGAGTAAATTATTTTTCACCACGTCTATAAAATTTAGATCCTACTTAGAATGCACCTTCCATTTAAGAAGATCTAAAATGTGAGATTGGAAGTAGTCTGGGTTTGAAGTCTGATTTCCGTCGTTGCTTACCCGACACGCATAGACTTACCCTGTATTTGTTCCTTTGTAACATTTATCTATCTTACTGAGTATACTGCAAGTGAGGTGGAAAAGGTGAGCTGCAGTCATAAGGAGCCAATTAATTTGAATGACAGACTGAAATTCCTGCCTTGTACCAAGTCATAGCACCAAAAGGGAACTGATTGCTTGTCCTTATGACGTTTTGAAAAAAAAGCAGGTCTTAACAAAAGTTGAAGGATACTTTGACTCTTAAAATGCTAACATCTGTCTGTTCCTTAAATCCGTTTTAAAAAGCCATTTGAAAGCCTGTTTCGAATGTGTGAAAGCTGAATTCAGTGAACCAAAATGGAAACTTTTTTTAACGAATGTATTAGAATCTTTAGCAGCTATGTTTTTAATTCGCAAAAACCGACTACAAAGGTATTTTTCGGAGCCTTTCTCGTCTCACGGTAGAAAACGGAGAATAAGGTCGTTAGGGCAGTTAACTCAACGTTTGCAAAACCCATGTCTCATTGAACAACTTTATGTACGATTAAATTGTGAAGTCCTCCATCTCAAACCTCAGATATGCCGTCATGGTTTCGTCTGGAAGAGTCTCTTTTGAAGGCATTCTGAGATGATGGATCAAGAATAGCCTGAATTGGAAGCTTAATATCTTTTGTGCATTTTTTAATCTTGACTTGAACGCCCGTCTTCACCGCCACTGACGAATCGGTCTCCTGACATATTTTTCATTTGCCATACTTGTTTTAAATAATAACTGCATTGCAGTTGGAAAGCGCAGCTTTGCAGTAAATCACAATTTTGTGGGCTGCTTTGTACACATTGTGATGTTTTAGTGCTACTGCGAACTTTTTGCTTTGGGCATGCACACATACGGGCTCTTCTTTACTGTCATAAGTAGCTCATCCAGCTTACGTCTCTTTGACCTGTTGTGTTTATTTACTCGAAGAGTCTGTTAATCTCGTTGTGAACATACTTCATGTGAATTGGAAAACATTACTGTATCGGTAAAGAATAAACCTGACACAAATTCGAAGTTTGTTATGGATATCTTCCCAATAAGTACTGCAATTATAAACTTTGGTTATCTCTGTGTGCAAAATAGTATTTGCCGTTTGTCCTCGGGAAATTTTGCGGGTAGCAGCTTTAAAATATGTTGGAAATTTGAAGAGAGGTCGTATTGCGGGGCTTATTCGATATCGCACGACCCCTAGTTGGGCTGTTTTTTCTTCGAAGAAAAAGCTGATCGGGGTACATGCTTGGAAGTTACTAAAGTCAGCATCAGAGGGGTACTGTGGTGATATAGAGGACGCATTTAATTGATAAAATAGTTTCCCCTTTCATTGAACTCTATCAAATTCTCAATTTCCCTACCGGGTGACGCGTAGTCTAGGGGTGTTGTAATAAATCCACTTTGCTAATTTATCCCTTAGAAATACTAGATGCCAGAAATCATGACGCAATAGAGATCGGTGAAACTTCCACCAGGGCGGAGCAAGAAAAGGAGCAACAAGAAGGTGATGAAGAGATGAGGACGGTCTCGTCCCAAGCCGGTGAAGTGTTACTCCTCTCCCCAGGAGGTGTTCGCGAGGCCCTGTTCTCCGACGAGTACTACTCCGTGCTCTGGGGCAAGCGTCGTGGATTCGCACGCATCGCCATCAAGGCAAAGCGTGTGAGTTTTGCCTACACACACTTGTCAGCTTGTGTGTGTGTGAATTTGTGTTAGTCCTTCGTATTTGACATGGCTATCCTACCATCTTTACGTCGGCATGTGGTCAGTGTGTTTGTGGCGGAACGGCATCTGTTTTTTTGCAAACTTAATATCACGGATTTTTTTTTGCGCCTACCCCAATAAGTTGTAGCTCCTTTATTACCCTTGAAGATGTAGTGACGTTGAGGCATATAGACTTGTTTTTTTTAAGAGCTAGGTGGAGGAGTAGGCAGGGCATCTTGCTACTGGCAAGATGCATAACCTGTCGTGTGAAGTCGCACAAGGGTTGCGCCTTTAAGTGGGCATCATGAATACAGCAGAATCTTTTATGGGTATTTGCAATCGTAAAAACTGCTCACACTGAATGCCAATACAGACGGTCTGTGCTGGGGCAGTTAAATCGTTCTGACCCATCTGTCTAGACCAAAGCCGTCTTGCTAATACGGGTTAAACTCCTGGAATAGGCATAAGAACGCGGCACGAGACAATGCTGGTAAAGAAAAGTAGTATCCGCCGCTTAAGACGCGCTTTTTTCTTATAAAGGCTGTCTAAATCCAAATTCTTTTCCGGACGGACTCCGCAGACGTGTACAAGAGAGCTAGGACAAGTAGCATTGGTGGGAATGGGTGAAGCGGCCTGTCATCAGCGCGGAAGATAATGCGATGCGGCATGGAAGCAATCGCGCTTTCCAATGCGTACCATAAGCAAATGCGGTTTCAGCGCAACCAATTCTGGCCCAATGCTTTACTTCACTAGTCTTTAGATTAGTTGTAATATCATCAAAATAATAATTCATGCATGTATTCACTGTCGCTTCTAGTTCATCTGCATTGTGCACTGACTTGGCTTTATTTTAGGTTCCCTTTCGTATGGGTGGCTTTTTCTTACAAGTCATCGCAATTTTATGAAATTCCAAATGTATAACAAATGCAAATCTGGTATACCTTCCATAAATGGAAGACAAATTTATTTCATTGTTGTTCCATCCAGCCTATTTATCCCGTGTTCACGGAAAATATTCGTGAGGGCATTCGTCTCGTTCAATACGGCAAATGTAGGTTTAATTTTCTTTTCGATATTATCTTCTTACTTGTTAGCATCTTTGGAAATATTAATTGCTTATCTGGTGTAGGTTGGCTACGTCGACTCTACGAGTTCACGCGACTACCGTTTGGTCTGTTCTATGGCTACTTCCCGGTCAAGTTACGGTTAGTTGTCAGAAATTGATTTCTATGACTCACTTGGTAGGCAAGGGAGTGGTACTTTTTCATTTTCTGACAGAACCCACATCGGTGATCCAATCTACCCACGGATAGGCGAAACCGATGAGCAATTGGCGGATAGGGTGAGTAGTCCACGCAAAACTGATATTTTAAATCATGAGAGTAACTACTGTTGCATATCAATGGCTACACGCTGCATTTGAAGTGATATAATCAATTTTGCAATCTGGAGCGTCTTTTTGTAGACTCGTGAAGCAATCGAAGATATGATCTTGCGTTACCAATGGCGCCCGGGTAATGTGGTGATTGCACTGTTGCAGCGGTTTCCCTGTTTTGATGCGTGGGTTCAATCGAAAAATGCACAGAACTACCATTCCAGGCGAAGAAAAGACTCACAAATTATTATGGATTTTTCCGGCTAGTGTTTTTTATTCTTTTTACCAGATTCTTGATTATTTTGCAGTAACAGAGCGGGATTTTGGACGGATGGATTCGTACTTTATTGGGTTTTGAGGAGTGGTAATGGTGCGGGTGCCGATTCGTGCGTGGCGGGTAGCTTGGGTTGGCAGTTTAAACGTAAGGGGGAGCACTCATTAGACCTCTGCGCATGGGTGTGAAGAAAATGAATTACTTAAGAGCCGTTTAAGTGCATAAGTGTGTTAAGTGAAGAATACAGTGGGGAGATGCGGTCCTAAGAGTCGTATGGGTTGGTCTTCAGTAACTAGGTAGGCCCTACACTGATTATGGGGAATTTGTTTTAAGTGCGTGAATTAAAGCTCGCTACGGCCACAATTTGAAGCTGCTTAGATAACTCTACTTTTTAACCCAAACAGCAACTCTTTGATGGGACATATATAAAAAAATTATGGTCAATTTGTTACAAAAGTTGAAGTCTTCATCGAAATTGTAATGTATTTTGTAATATTATCAACACAACTTGTTTTACTTCTTAGCTACTTTAGCGCTATGTGTAGGTCAAGGGTATTCGGAGGTGGTGGTTTCCGCTACTGATTGTATTCTAATGGCTCTTTTTTGACACTAGCTTGACGAGCGCATTGGTCTGCTTCATTTATACTTTCAAAGTAGACTGATTCGCATTGAATTCCTGGCATTTTGCAACAATAATCCCACAGACACATTAACGAGAAGTAATTGGGTTCATTTAAAGTATCATTTCTCGTTGCTAGTTTTTAATATTACACTGTTTATGGCGACATCTGACCTGGTTTTGAGCGCAAAGTCAATTTTCCACCATGTTACTAGCCCATTGTGCGCAAAATTTTTTCTGCGTCATTAGCAAAAGTTAAATGTAATCAGCTATCCATTTGTATATCAATGGTACGTATTTCCTTGCCAGATGCGTATGATGCCACCCTACATCATTCGCCGTTGCCTAGCTACTGCGAACAACTGTCCCCCGGTGGCACTCACTGTGCGCCTGCAGGAGGCTGTGGATCGTTGGCCAGTGGATCCCACCAAGAAACATTGCGATATCCGTGTGCACTTGGAGAAACGTGCACGCCACCTCATCTCCCGCAACAGTGCTCTGGAGCAGCTCGAAGAAGAAGCCGTCTGTCTAGAACGCCTGACGGCAAATGTACATCGTGACAGCTACCCCGTACCTCAAGGTTTAGGTGGACCCCCACCCATCGTTGCTGCTGCCGGCCTCGACCTCTCATCCACCTCTGCCATTTTAACAGCCGGAGGCGATCCCAAGCGGGAAAAACGACTTATATCTCGTCTGCTGCGGTTCTTCAGCTAATCTACTGATGCTGCATCCTTTCTCACCTTTGACTGTTGTAAATACATGAAACCCCCTCAGCAGCACCTAAGCCATTCCACAAAACGTTTTAAGGTGTGTAAATCGAACGGTAGGCCTCTCATCGCGAATACAACCATGAGAAAAAAAAGGTAGCGCATTCAACTACTTGTTCACACGTGGGACACTGTAACCAAAGCTAGGGATTTCAAGCTGATAGACACCTGGGGACGAGTTTTGGTATTATTTGACTAAACCGGAACGAATTCCGAGGTTGATACGCAGACGGTTCTGCCACATACACGACGGAGCCGCCCCACGCAAGCGAGTTACAAAAGGTCGCCAAGATATAAGCAGGGCCAAACACAGTTGGGGGGTAGTGCTGTGTATAACTCGCAGATCATGATTCGAGAAAGAACAAGCAACGGGAACGGGGCGAAAATGAACATCAAAAAGACACCAATGGGGACAAATTGAGCTGATTAGCATTGACCATCTTCACAGTATTGCCATGCATAATAGAAAAGCGGAGCGGCGGTTGATGAGTATGTAAATATATACAAGACGGTACGAGCCAGATGGGAATACGGAATACAGGCGTACACACACATAGTTATACTTTTTGTAGTTCCCAACTTATGTTTTTGGGGAGGAGTAATGGGCGCATAGACAAAATAGTATAGCATTAATGAAAAGTAGAGGAGGCAAAGCACAAGGTCGATATGCAGCGTGCTACTCGGATTGGCTGTCCATAAAGGCTTCTTGGATCTCCTTCACCATCTTAATGCGATTTAACATAACTTGTAGCTGACTGGCTGGAACACGAGTCTCGGAGAACCATGTCGTCAAAGAGGGCTCGGGTAGAGGACTTAGATAAAAGGAGCCGCCGCCCGCTACCAGTGCCTGAGGACTAGAGAAGCCATACAAATAACTCTAAATTAAAAGAAACCACTGGGCGAGAAATCCTGGTATAAACATGTTTGCCACGATAGTATCCGCAAGGCTAACCACTGGAACCTTGGGCTATTCTGATGGCACCTGATTCTCCCTATCGGAGGGCTGAATCAACCAAACTGTCAGACTCAGTACAGTGATCTTCTTTGCCCTCCACAATCAATGTGCAATACAACCTACCACTTTTTAAGGTAATTTCGGAAAAGTTGGATCGGGCAGCGAGAGAACTGTTCTCCAGTAGAGAACATGCGGTAGGAGTCAGAGCTACCACTGGACACAAAAAGCACGCACTCCGAAGATGGATTCTCGCGCTTCAACTTAAAATTGGAGAATCTCAGTTGGGCGTGCTGGTCGCCCGTGCGGAGCCACATGTGCTTAGTGATGAAGTAGAGGAGGGTAAAGAGCAGTATCTATCAACGGAGAAAAGTGGCATGACCTGATCGTATGAAGATTAAACCAATCAATGAAAGAGGCTGGAAAAAAACATTAATCCCTCCATGGATTGAGTTGTGGTGATGGCGAATGAATTGATAACCGTAAAAACGACGGCATGGCGAGTAAGTTAATGTTGCAAGTACCTCGACACAGTCAGCAAACTAAAAAAACTGGAAGGTAACATCTGCAAAACTTACGTGAGGTGTCTCATCGCCAAGCTGCCTAGCCTCCCACATGTGTTCCTCTTCAATTCGACAAATAAGCATGCCTTCTGGACTGATTCGAGGGCGGAAATCGGCCAGAACAGTATCCAGAGCATTGGCGAAACTTGCAAACCGCGGCTCGCCGAAGAGGTTAATAGCGCGACCATTCTCGTTTAGGTACTCTTGAATACCTGTCATCAACGAGTGATAAAAACAGCGATTAATGAGACAAAAACTTTGAGGGCCAGGACAAATTACAGCGATTCAACCCACCCAAGCACAGATAGAAGATGGAATCGGCCACATAGGTCTCATTGTTCGGCTTGCGCACCTCGTGCACGAATCGAGTGAGCGCAATATTGAGCTCATCGTCGGGTACGTCGACCAAATCGGCAAGAGCCTTGGGCTGCGAGGTATGATTCACCCACAGACGCCAGGCGTTAATACCATAGGAAAACTTGAGGTGGTAGCTGGCGTCACTCATTGGTGGACGACGCGTCATAACCGTCGTCGCTGCGACTGCGACAGGTCCCAGTGCCGTCGCCGGAGTTTCGGTCGTTCGACGAAGACGCTTACTGGGAAGGCCCTGCTGTCCAGATGTTGGTGAAGCAACATCCACAGAGGAGTTCGACGATTCCTTAGCGGAACGCTTTTGAGAAAGGGTCTTCGAAGTAGTCCCTTCTGTCCCCATTTGACCCTGAGACACCAGGTAGTGCGATTAATACCTTCAACACCAGAATGTTTATTTCTAAAGGTAACCTACCGATCCAAAAGTTGTAGTATTGGCATCTGGATCAGGTTTTTGTTTCATTGGAGCAGGAGTAGTAGCAGGAGCGGAGTCGACAGCACCACCAGATACCTCATCACCCTTCAGCAGGAGAGGTAAGGGTACCACACAGGGGAGGGGAAAGGGCAGAGTAAAGGGAACCGGCCGAGTGTATGCAAAAACAGGCACAGGAACGTAAATGGGAACGGGAACCGGAATGGGTACGTATTTGACCTCCTTTTCCTCCAACTTCACTTTCCCGCCCGTACCTTCCTCCAATTGCTGCTCATCTTTTATGCCTTTCGATGGCTCGTCTATGAGCAGCGACAAATAAACCATCATGCAGTGTTGCTCATTTACGAAAAATCCAACAGGAGCCAGACAGGTTACCGAGTGCGCTTACCCGTTTGGATTCCAAAGTGGCATGTCGAAGGAGCCTCCGTATTTGCTCCAACCTCACTTTTTCTAATAGCTTGCTTGCTAGTCCCACCACCCTCCATATCTGAGTCATTCTTGTCCGAGAAGACCTCTTCTTCCTCTTCCTCTTCGACCAAATCTGCATCCTCGTCCCCCTCCTTTTTAGCCGGGGCAGCCGACTCCTCAACTACCATCATTTCATCCTCCTCCACGTCCTCATCGTGCTTCGAAGCCAGCGCCTCCTCCTCAGCGGAGAACTGACACTCGATATCACGAGAGTGAATTCCCGACTGAGTCTTTCGTGACACGGAGAGTGGACGACAGAGAACCGCCTTGTTGCGCATGGCAACAGGGGCTGCTGGCTGCAAAATTACTTGCTGCTCGATACCCAACTGGCGAACCATATCTATGGGCACAACGGGGAATTGGCCCTAGATTACAAAATAAGATTAACACATGAGAAACAGACGATAGTCGTAGATTGATGAGGTAAAGTCACTTACTCTAAGAGGTCGACGACCACGGGGTCTACCTCTGTTACTAGTACCGGTGATTGCGGTAAAACGATAACCAGCATCCCTATCCACACCAGTTCCAGCGGTCGTAACCATCGCAGTTCCACCGGAAGTAAAAATATTGCCTTGTGAATTAATGATACCACCACTTCCACCAGCACCAGTGGCAACGCTAAGGGGAATCCCAGAGGAAGGTGTATAGCGTGTTCCAAGGGAAAGTAAACCCGACGCAGCTGGTGCAATAACTGAAGGCTGCTGAATCAGTTGAGCACCTTGAAGAACCTGTAACCCCTGAGATGAGCCCAACGCTTTTCTAAAATGAGCATACGTAAATGGTACATAAAAAGCTGCAGAACAAAAACTACACGCGATTAAAAGTAAAGCACGTACCTCGCAGGAGTTCTCGCACCGCGCTGGGCTGACTGAGGCACCCTCGGGTCGATTACAGACTGAAAACTCAGAACGCTTTTAAAGAAAGCAAGAGGAAGACCAAAACGACCAGCTAAACGGTTCTGCAATAACATGTTCAGAAGGGACAAGGGTATGTGAGACTCAAAGCACTGAGAGTCCCGTTAGGCTAGCAACAAAAGGCATAAAGAAGGATTGATGCAAAAAAGCGTGCATAGTTTTAGGTCGCAAAATATAGTAAAGCCTTGAAGTAACAACGATAACACGCTTAACCTAAGGGAGTGACGGAGAGCTAAACACACACTCGCTGACATCATCAAAAACGAGGCAAGACCTACTCGGATGCCAACAGGTTGAATGAGATGCTGGGCTAGTTCCGGTTTAAGAATACTTTTGCCGGTTTGAACGATTCCACCTACTTGCACCTGTCCGCCAGAAATAAGTGCACTGGGGTCCTGCACAACGATAGCCCCATTTGCATCAATAGGCACCTCAACGAGTTGGCAGCTCTCGGGATCAATGGCCGTCATATTTTGCCTATAAAACAACAATGTGACGAAAGACAGGCTAACCCATAGACAGCCATCACCTAGTATAGCACTCAGGTAAAGTATGGGGCGCGGAATACGCTTGCGAATTAAAACAAAATATTCCCGACCAAATATTTTACAAAGCTCCCAAAATACCTTTTAAAAGAACTGCTTTTAGGTAAAAGGTCAAATTGTCTAAACAGCAAAAAGTTAAAAATTGTCAACATTTTTAGAAGCAAATGAGAAAATGTAAAAAGCACCTTGCTTGTTTTACTATGTTAATATATCTTCCCTTTCGGTCGTATTTTTAGTTAACTTAAACAAGTATTTTTAGGCAGTGAATTTTTTCAAGTGCGAATTGCAAACTAACTGCATAATTTTTTTTAATAAAAAAACTTCTTACTACCTAGCACTGGCTTGGACATCTATTGTAATCTATGTAAGTGGCCCTGACAATTTGTTGACTGTTAAAGAGTCTCTTTTTTAAAACTACATCCACTTCATTTTTACACTTTTAGACAATGGAGACTTTAGCACATACAGCGGTCTTCCTAATCACTACGCATTTCCAGTTATTTCTCTTACTACTTCTTAAAACATGAACACTGGTCTCTGTCCAATTATGAAAATACTGCGTACTATTTCCCAGATCATTTATTCGCTTTTTTGTCTGGTCCCGTCAGACTTCTATTCTTCATATCGCTTCTCTAGTACTCCAAGTTTGAAGATCTTAGAGTCCCTTTCCAACTTGCTTCACGAAGCTTATTCTTAGCGCACCTATTATTCAGTTTAAAATACGGAAGAGTGACGCTTAGGTAGGCCCGGTGGACAAATGTCAGATTTCAAAGTGGTAGATGAACAAAATATCACAGTCCGAGTTTTGCTAGTTTACATGTTTCTCCATTTGCGCCATGGTGCAGACGCAATGAGGGGAGGAGTTTGCTGCTATCGTCGTTTAAGTTGCACAGCACTGAACAACCGTGGGCTTCTTTTTCTTATCCTTGTGTTTACTCCGGCGCCCTGGTAGCTGATCAGTTATACGGAGCGGATCGTTGTTTTGTGCCGAGGGAGACTGAAAGCCAACAAAATAACATTAACACTCATGACATTTTTTTGTCTATAAGTCGAGGTTCAGGTTTTAATCACCAGAAATCTGCCTTTAATGTTTAAGGGTCCCTCTAAAATGCCAAAATTTTCAATTTTACTCTTTAATTACTACTTGTTAATTCTGAAAATCAAGTATGGAACCCGCATATATTTTTTTTGAATTTAAGGGACTATTTAGTCCCCTTTATTACGAAACTGATACTTTCATTGCACCGCCTACCTTCTTGAATGATTAAAGGACGGGTGAATGACAAGCATCGGGTTTAGTAAGTTATCAAGACAGAATGAGAGTTTACTTACTGGTTGATAGTAGAACTAAAATGCAAAATAAACACAAATTAAAGCAACAAGTTTTAGAATTATTTTCTCTACTGTTATCACAGTAACATAGTTCATAAGCACCGCTTTACTGCTCAATCTAGATTTATGCCGAAATTGTGCTCAATACTGCATAAAAGCGCATTCATACACTTTCACAACATTTTTGTTTTTCTTAAAAATACAGATATTTAAGATATCACAGTTAATAATGCAGAGGTCTTCATTTTTGGCGAATGGGATGTGGGTTTGCATAGTGAAAAAGTTCCTTAAGGGCCATTAAGCGCACGGCTTCGGAGTCTCAAGACCAGCAAACGAGTGATCCGCTCACCTGAGGTATGCTCCATATCGATACCATTGTGGTGGCCACGGATTGGAAAAGGTTTTGAATGTTGGCACCAGTCAATGCACTCGTCTCGAAGAACCCATGTGCATATTGCTGCTGAGTAAGCTGAAAAAATACGGGAATATATGCTTTCCATCAACCTTTATGCATGATTGGCGGATCTCGGGAATGGCGAAACAGAAAAGTATCCCTTCTCAGGAGGATCGAAGCCATTTGAAGTTTGGCTTTTACACCATTCGTTGTTGACCAATGACTAACCCTCCGTTGATTGAATTGAAGCCGAGAGCCATAAAGTGTCATTTCCTCATCATTCACTATGCAGGCGCTCATTGTTTACAGTCGAGAATTCCACATTACTTGTCTGTACAATGTCAGAGAGCAGGTAAATGAAGTTAATTTTATCAACAAAATTAGCGGGACTTGAAGATAAATGGAAAATGAAGTAAAAGTCCCCTCTACGCCACCACCAAAGTTCCTGAAGACAAACTCAAGAATGCGCCTGTTTGAGCATACCCGTAGACTAAATCAAACTGCACACCAAAAGAGACGTATTTTTATGCCAAATTCATTTGCATAATCGGGTGAGTATGTGATTCACTCATTTGTTGAGAGCTAGCCCACCGCTAATGGAGAGGAATCGAAGGCAGTTCTACTTACAAAAACAAAAATAGGAAGACGAGTGGACATACGCGTTCTGCATCCTCTGTAGGCACTTCCTTCAAACGCACTAAGTCGGCTTTATTCCCAGCAAAGAAAACTGGAATGGGTTCGTCTCCATGCTGAAACAAAAATAGAATCAGAAAGCAAAATTAGCATTTCGAATGACTAAGTGAACATCCACCAATGCATCGTTGAAGGCGTGTGCCATTACATCACACGGTTTGTTCAGTTATTCTCTCAAGATTCCTCAAAATCCTGTACAGAATTCAACAGAAGCGTCTATTATATCTCCCATTCTTAAACGTGTCTGAATTAATTCATAGCATTAGCGACTACATATGTCAGTAGAAATAACTGTGCTTCATTTAGAGCTTAGTAGTTTTTTTTTGGATTTGGATTTGTGAAAATCGAAGAAATTTCAGAAAGATCTTCCAAATTTGTCCAGATAAGTGAAGGTATATTTTAAAAGGAAAAAGAGACCCCCCCCCCCACACACACACATGCTCCATAAGGCACACGATTTTGATTATTCAAGTAGTCCAAAAACATTTAAGAAGTATAAAAACTCCTACGAAAGAAATCACAATTGCGGCTTTAAAACTGGTAAATAGTTGTGCAGTGCCTCAGAAAATATTCATCCGCTTCTCGCTAAAGTAGTCGTTCCAAGTTTCCATGGAATTCATGCACTTTGACTGGCTATTAAAACACACGGTCAGAGAGGCCCTCCTTTAATAACTACTGCTGAGATACAGTAGTTAGAGATTTCAATTGGAAGGGTATTATTGTTGAATATCATTATTATGGGTGGATCGAATGAAGGGGTATTGCCCCCATTTCATGAAACATTTACCAGTCGATGGCTCTAACTTGGGGGATGACAATACCTAATGCACATAAAACAGTCCAGGAAGGGAGTCCTAAGATCTCGTATCAGATCTACAGTCAGCGCAACATGTGTTACTGCCCCACATCTGCACACATGCAGAACAATTTCTAGTTGATTAAAAAAAATTGCTTAAGTAGAAGTATGGAAAACAGCCAAGTGAATCAAAAACCAGTTTTCCATTTTAAAGTTGCTGTCGTATGGGGACTCCAAATACCAACGGAACCAAAGTTTAGGCGCCGGTCTTTGCTAGATCCGGTTTCGAATCAAGTTCACCATTTCATGAATAGCAAAATGAATGAACAGCACACACGAAAGGGAAAAGGCTTTTTTCGAAGAGTATTTCTACAGAGACCTACCACATCCGCCATTTTGAGCCATTCTTTGCGAATTTTGGTGAAGGATTCACGATTGGTGACGTCGTAGACAATCACGAATCCCTGATAAATCACAAAAAAGTAAAATTGACAGCTTTTTAGACTCACATGAATGATCAAACAATATTTAATCACTAATGGCTTTCTTGTTGTTGAATTCCTACTAAGAAAAGTGCCTATGATATTGTACAAACCTCGACAGCTCGATCGTTGTGGTTAATTCCTAGTCAAGGCTTTTTCAGATGGTTTGTAGTCTATAATGCCATTCTCTGTTCATTATAAATTCCTAAATACACCACAATCACCTCGGCAAATATATTTATGTGGCAAACTGGAAGCTAAACCAACCTTTGCATCTCTAAAGGTAGATGCGGCTAGCGACCGATAGCGCTCCTGACCAGCTGTGTCCCTATAAATAAAAATAAACCAGAAAGTGGGCGCCCTTTTCGTAGGGAAATGAAACAACTGCTCTACGATCAAAAATCCACTCAATAAATCCAAATCAGCAGCACTTGGAAAACCAAACTTTCTTCCACTTTATTAACGTTCTCAACAGATATTCATGCTACCCCGAAAACTTAACTTTTAAAAATGGCTTCTAAAACCACATACGGAGCCTAATTTCTTCACTAGCTCAAAAGTTTTGTTATTTAATAGAAACGGAATTACTAGTACTTACCAAATCTGTAGCTGTATGAGGTAGTTGTCAACTTTATAAGTTTGCAATACAAAGTCGATACCTTTAAAAAAAAATAATCACTGGTAGGTCGCATCATCACTGCATGTTAGCATTGAATGCATTTTTGGGTGTTAAGTTGAAATAAACCGGAAGATTGGCGACATACCGATTGTAGAAATCATTGTGGGATTGAAGGGTTCACCAACAGCTGCTCGAATCAGTGAGGTCTTGCCCACACCAGACTCGCCCAGCAGAACAATTTTGTACCTCGCATCATATCGCGCGCTGTCGACATCGCCATTTGCCTTCGCTTCCGAGCGGCCATTGTGTCGCTTTTGGCCCAGATCCAGCAGTTTCAAAGACTTGGCCAAATTCCGAGATTTGGGGCGTTTATTGAGGTTAGAATCACTTGGATTGGGCGTAGGCATGGATTGTAGAACGTTCCCACCAGCCGACATTGAATGCGCGATTGCTAAAATAAGAAGGACGGTGATTAAGGATTATAAGGAACAGCAGTTATTCTCTTTGACTTGGCTGACTCTTAAGATGGAGAATACGTGACATGGAAAGCAAATGGTATTTGTGAAGTGCCATGTGCTAAAGACGTAATTGCTCGGTACCTGCTCCAAAAGAGCGTTAACTCTAAATAGAGTGAGTCACAGGGACAGCATTTATGCTGCTAGTGTTCGTGTTATTTCTGCCTCAGGGGCCAGTACAAAGTCCAAAATCAACGCCCGATACATATTTGTACCGATCACAGGAGCTAATTCTATTTGACGACTTGGTTTGCTCACACATCTACGTACATGGCTGCGTCGTGGAGGACTTACAAACATTTTGAGTGGAAAGCATAATTCAAGAAACCAATATAATCTATTGTCAGCTTTGAATAAAGGGATCCGAGAATAGTTTGAAGGAAAATCCTTGTCTAATAAACCATTCCAATAGTAGATAGGTTGAGCATTTTAATCAAACTGAAATTTTGGCATTACAAATAAAAAAGGGATGCTACCATGGCGGTACCGCAATGTGGACAAACGATAGTAGTGCTTGTAATGAGAAAAAAAGTTTCTGGTGAACAGCTGGACAATTCGAAACAGAGTATGTCCCCCAGTGAAGAATACTTCAACCAGTACGTTGATGGAATTTTCATTCAATCGACAGTAAAGGATTTGAACTCTGCAAACGCTTTAAGTGTGGTCGTAAGACTTTCTATCATGGTACCGGTCGCGGTGGATCCCAGCCTTCCTAAGCCATCGTCCCAAGGGCCATTTCTGTCAATGAATACTCAATATGTGAAAAGCGTCAGCCTATGATATTCAAAGCAAAGGCTGTGTTAAAATTAGACAAAAAATGAGTTTTTCTTTGAGAGCGTTAAGGTCACGTATTCGTAAACATTTGATATTTCCAAAATTTAGTTCCCATTTTATAGCAGGACAGCTTTCCACACGAAGATTGTTCTAGGATGGCTCCTTTCCACTCTCAAATCTAGCTATACTAAAGCTTCAAATATATTAGCTAAACGATGAAATAATTGCATAACTGCATAAAAGAACTGTAAAATAGTCGCGGTATTCACTTCCTAAACATGAGTTTTCTTTATATAAAATTAATACTCCTAATTTGACTTAAAACTGTTGTAACCCAGTCAATAACACTAAGTTATAATTAAGGGGATCTTCCTTCCATAAGTGGTTGGGTCAGAAAAAATGTACCCATGGGCAGGTTAATCAGTTGTTGAACGTTAGTTGCTTCGAATATGCATAAGTACCGAGATGATGTTACCCGTGGTTTCCTTTCATCTGACCTCTCTGCATCGGTAGCGATGGGGCAAACGCCAAAACTCTAATGAGGGCTTGCGTGAATAAAAAAAATTCTCCTTTTTATGGAAGTCGTCCTGCCTCTAGGATAACCTAGTAACCGCGCCTACGGATCTCCTACTGACAGATCCTAATCATACATTATATGAACTTAGTAGTTGATTTCTTCATATGCTTAAGCTAGTCTTTACACATCCTTTTAAGCAAAACGTTTACCAATTTTAAAACCTTATTAGATTAGAAGCAGGTGATGCGACCTTAAAGGTACATTAAACGTTGGAATAAATTATTTTTAAGCGGTAATTTTGTAAGGTTTTGGTATTCATTCCAAGGCAAGACAGGTAACCACTACCTAAAAATGTAAGGGTGCTTTCGAAAATGTTAAATGGGAAAGGCATTAGCTGAATTAAGACGTTTAGTGAAGACACATTTAAATAAAAAGTGGGCAACCTGAGGGCCGATGAACCATTATACGATCATTAGTAAGCCTTAGTCAGCCTCGACTGAACGTTTTTACAGGACTGGAATACGGCACAGAAGGGAATAAATTCCACTGTGATATAAACCAATTCTTTATAAATTTAAACACGCCACATCAATTAATGCAGGTAAATCCAAGGTGTCGTTCAAAGTATTGAAAGATTGCCAAATTAGTTGAGATAACATGTCACATGGCATCAACTAACGTTAAAATGAACCAGTCACCTTTGTGGGATGATGGTGGCACTAGTGGTGTGTCATGGATGGTCAGCGGAGTGGCTGATGATTTGCTTGAATACTAAAATTATATCTGGGAACTGAAGTCTTTAGAGTGTAGGGCGACTGAAGGTAAGTAGTCAAGACATTTTACAGAAAGAAACTTGTCCTATGCTATGCGAATTAAGAATTCGGGTCATGAATTATGATCCAATTCTTATCATCAGATGAGAAACATCGATGCCAAAGTTGGAGAGGATTTGCAAAAAATAAAAAATACACCAGAATTTGCAAATTTACAACGTATTCCAGTTCAGAAATTGAGCCATAACTATGAGCTAAAATTAAGAAAAACACTTCGATCTAAGAAGGTACATAGTTACGTAGGTATACGGATTTAGTGTCTTTAAAGAAGAAGGGCTGAACTCATTTGACATTGCGCATTCCATTTTTGGTTTTTAATCAAATGAATGACGTGAATCATATCTCACTCGCGCATATAGTCTATACCTACAGCAGTTCGTCAACAGTCACCGCTGCTTTCCTTGGTAGATCGTTTTAGCAGGAATCTGGTGCGCCTAAGGACAAAACTTGAGGAGCAATATCTCAATCAGAATAAACGGTGAGTGTGCATGGATGCATACATAATCAAAAACCTGAGACTGAACCCTCAATATCTGTTACAGTGCCGGTAATCAGTAATCAAAGAAGCCTTTTAAAAGCTTCATTGTTAAAACCGAGAATATCTGACAAATTCAGGGCTTATAGGATGGATTTTGCTAATTAATGAAAGATAAAGACCAGGAAAGCATGTTGAATGGTTTTAGGAGTATTTATTCGATAAGATATGCTTCACAAGCTTCTGCCGAGCTTTCTGAAAGTGCCATAAGTTTATCAGAGCAATAAGCAATAAGTGCGTAAGTGCGTAAGAGTTTTAGGCAGGATACACAAGTATTACATATGCTTGTATACTGAGTTAAAATGATGGAATAAATACCTTCCAGAAAATGGCTACTATCAAGTATGCATCCTTTTCCATTTCGCAGAATTGAAGACACCAGATCGTACCTTTGCCGAAGTTTGTGCATCAAATTTTGAAGCAGGGACCAATGAAGACAGGATTTTAAATAAAAGTTAATGCTGATAACCTGTAATTTTAAGAAGAAGTTTTCACAGCCTTAGTGTTCTCGGTTCCTACTTCCTTCGATTGAAGTGCATGAAACTTTCGTTCTGACCCCAAAAAGTGCGCTTAACTGGAGTCAGTGTAGTACATGAAAGCGATTTTTGTTATCTGTAGCGCTACCAGCAGTCATATAAAAGTGGAAATGAGTCTATTTGCAGAACTTAAAAAATCTTTCTTTGATGATTTATTTAGGAGGAGAAATATCCTCTAATACGGTCAAAAACTAAAAAAAGGGTTCTAAAGTACTTCTGCTAGATGTGAGGCAAAAAGTACAATTGCAAAGCAAAAGTCACCCAGCAGCAATAAGACCGAAAACAGTTCATTTGAGGGATTTTGAAATGTTAATAGTTTCCCAAGCTTTATATAACAACAAAAATTCAAGGAGTCGTCAACTGATTAATTTTCAAAATTAGGGTAGAGAATGATCACGAATGAATCGAATTTATTAGCTTTGAAACCAAAAAAATCGTCATTAACCACCATGAGAGACTTATTAAGCCGTATCGAAAGTTTCCTTTGACAGATTATAACAGAGCAAATATGATCACCTTACATATTTGCTAAAATCTGTCCATGTAATTCAGACACTTGGGACATTAGATAACCTAGAATCGACTGAATAGGAAACAGTGAATTACCAAACCAATTTTACAGTGAACAAACTGCTATGCCTTCCGCCGTTACCGATCCTCTGGCAGAGAGAAGAGGTAAGCTGCTAAATGTTTTAAAATGATAAATGTCGAATTTCATTACACCGTATGGAAAACACATTCAATTTGTTTAAGCAAATCTACTTTCCAGCCTAAATGAAAGGATGAACCAGAGACTAAATGACTTCAGGTTGTGGCGAGAAATTAAACCTACTGATGTCCACAGTAAAACTGCTGCGGACTTCAAGATGATTTAATGCAAATGATAAATAGAAAAAGTTAATAAAAGATTAAATTTGCTTCAAATGTCTTTCAAGCAGACTAAAGCAATCCTTGTGAATACCTTAATAACACAAAATGAGGGAGCATTTATTAGAAAAGCAAATATACTTAGTCCATTAGTGTGGAAGAGATTTACTTAAGTTTCCAACCAACAGTAGGTTCTGAAGTATTCCAAAGCCATACACTGTAACACGAAATTTTAAATCCACATCGATTGCAGAGTTTTCTTTCAGCGCTGGCATTAATTCTGAGGTAAATCAAACGAAGAATCAAAGCTGACAATCTGACAAACATTAGGTCTCATGCCAAGACAATGAGCGGTAAATAAGCTTTTCATGGTCACATAAAGTACGCTTCCCTTTAGTAACATTCTCACATGAAATTGATGAATTAAAGAACAAAATGGATTTTGAAAAAAGTGGAAATAATGTGCTGCTTGAAATGACGAGATCAATCATCAGTTTTGGGTAGATGAAAAGCTGCAGAGAAAACTCACATAAGTGTAATCACAGGCTCCTTTATCTTCTACTAGATTACACCCACATGCATGAGACACCTTTAAGTAGCTTGCTTTCAGTGATAGTAGCCAGACTCCTGCCGCGTGCCTCTGCAACAGCCAACGGTAGTGGAGTTGCACGCCTCTGCATGAACAGGTCTGGTTCACAGCACGCAAAATCGTCGAGCTGATTGGCTAGACGTTGGCCAATCACACACCTCAAGAAATTTTCTCTCGAGTCTATGTAGCAGACGGGGAAATGATAGATGGAAAATTTCGTAAAAAAGGCAATGAATTCAACATGGGAGAAGTCATTTTATAATATTTATGG